CTTGCCACATAGAAATATGGTTACATAGTATTAACACATTCATATAATACTTACATGATCTGAGGGGAATGCCTTTGCCTCTATTAAAATTTTGTGTCTCTGAGGTGTTGGTCTATAAAATGGCACCAACAGAAGGTGTAGATTTACTGTCAAAGAGTTCATGATGGCAACTTCTATATCCTTAGCACCTTGAAAATAAGGTATCAATTAGGAAACTCAACATTAGCAACAGAGATTCTGGCCTCTCATTTAAACAGTCTTCCCATTTTTGTTTTATTGGCAAGATTTGAATCTATAGCTAATATATTGTAGGTACTTGTCTGTTTCTTCTCTGTAACTAATGTCAATATTGTGAGCACTTTATTGCATGATTGGGGCTAATTTATTGTCAAAAAGAAGATTATATAAATAAAAAAGTCAATGAAAAAATGAAACAAGATAACTATGTCAATTTATAAGTAATATGCAAGGAACAGCAACACACCTATAGATAAATTATTTTACCTGTTTGAATAAAAAGTTGAAGTTCATAAAATTGATTTATCTTAATTTGTTACAATCAATTATATAAAAAACAAAGCATTCCCTTTTCTATTGATTGTATAGAAACCTTACCAACTATTCTGGCACTTTCTGAAAGTACAAAGTCTTCTATTTTCCACCAAGGAAGAGCACCACAAAAATGACCATGAACTCCCCTGAAAATAGAATGAGGATGAACACATCTTCAAAAAGTGACATATTACATTACTGTATGTTCTTACCCCCCTAAAGTTCATTACACTTCTCAATTATAACTAAAGAAGCTCTGGATATGTCCCTTGTTTCTTTTAGATAACAGCACTAATCAACATCACTGATTGTTCCTTCATTCAAGCTAAGCCATGTAACAAATAAAACTTCAACTGAGAAAGAGAAATATAATTATGTACATTTTTTGCCACTTGTCCAGCTCCTGTATGACCAATGTACGCGACTCTTTGGGTTGGAGTCCCAAAGAATTTCCACAGAAGTACATGCTGTCCATCTCCATATCCACTACTGCAGGATCAACTGCATGTGCAGAAAAAGTGTAGTTAACAAAATAATAAAGTTAATGTTGATTGGCATAAATAAGTTTTGGATGCAACTAAGAGTCATTTTAGCCTGAGCTGCTAGACAAGGATTAAAATGACTCAGAGAAAGGCCAAAAAACATATTTATGCCCAAAAACATAAATTCTACTACTCTTTGGAGGCATTGAGGAAAAATTGGAACTGAATAAGTGACCACAAAACATTCCGAACAACTACAAGCAGACTAAAATGTCCCTCTATTTTAGCCTGTAAAATGCTAAAAAAAATGACATTAACCATAAATAGCTGTTACTAATTAGTCTTAGTTTGGACATCTTTGCCAAAATTTTCTATAACATGTCTTCAAGAGATTTCCCTTCCCCAACCTCTCTCTTACTCTTTAAGTAAGAAACATCCTCACAACTTTTAAAAATTGCCAAATTAAAGGCTAAAAGTTATCAACAGTTATTAAGCTCATCATTTGCCAAAATCCAATGCTAAAGGACCATGCAGACTTAATTGAGATCAGAGACATTTAAGTTTTTCCCAAAGCACCATAATTAAAACCTAATTGACCTTGCTTCCTGTTTTTACTCATAAAGTATACAGTTGCCAGGTGTTCAAACTTTAGAGATCATCAGAGTAATATAAGATCTTTTGTTATACCTTTTGATGTTCCCTTAATTGCTACTTATGTAACCAATGAACAACACAAATGCATGCAAACAAGTCAACCCTGTGCTTTTCACTTTTTCTCTCTCCCTATGCTCTATTTGTCCTTGTTACATAATATATGACATCCCCCACAGATCAAATACCTTTTTTGTTTCCAAGAGAATATACCACATGTTATTGGCCAAAACTTGCTACTTTCTTCAGGTCAACAAAACTCACAAATCCCTCAGGGTAAAAGCAACTTTTAACTCACACAAGATCCAGTCATGCACCATGAAACCGCTGAATATTTTTGTGACAGCTTGTGTGAAGAAATTAAATTCAAATATGCTTTCCAGTAGCAATTTGGCATGGATTGCACTAAGAAAAGTTTTGCAAGACATTGATTACTTCATGGTCAAAACATATCAACAAAACACTGTTCCTTATGTCACTCTAACTTTCCTTAGACACTTTTTTTCAAAAACAGGCAAACATTTAAGATTCAGTAGTACTTAAATGGGATGGGCAGATATTGGAAAACTGGGACTTAACAGTTGGAATCTCAGTGGTAATGTCACTACTTGTTTGTGATCTGTATTTTACCAGAAGATTTCCAGTAAAATTTTAGAAGAAACCAAGATCTACTTTAGTTTTGCTCTTTGCAGACTAACATCCATTAGCCCTTCTTTCATATGAAAGACAAAAAAACCTGCTGCTGATTTAACTGAATTAAAAAAGAAGAAGTATCATTGTGAGAGATGTTTGTCAGTAATTCCCAATTCCAAACATATTTTTTTCAGTTTGTTTAATCCTTTTTTAGACCAAGTTACTCTCTTTGAGCAGCTATTGGATAAATGTGTATCTAGTCTATGTCAGTTGTGCAGTGTGTTCATTACAATTTTCCTCCTACTTAAAGTGACACTTGTAGTTTACCAGGAGTTTTTGCTTTCTTCACTACCATTTTAAGTTTTCTGTGCTTTTTGGCCAGCAACATAGACAACTTAGCCCAAGTATGACAGATGCCTCTGTTCTATTTCAGTCAGTGTAAAACACAGACCGCAGATTGCAGAGTGGGGATAAAATGCAGACTGAGGGTAAAATGTAGACGGCAGACTGCAGACTGGGGATAAAAATTAATGCAGACTGACAACTGCAGACCAGGGGTAAAATGCAAACTGGGTTCTAGAACAACCCGCTTTCCCAGAAAAACTTCGAGAGTACCTTTGTTTTGCACTGCAAGTTAGGCATGCAAGTTCTTTAAATTTAATGCAAATTTGTTGGGGGTTAGAGATAAGGGTCTAGTTAAAAACCTCCAAATGTCTCCTGGGCAATTCACTTCAGTATTAACCTGAGGTAAATCTGCGGCTATCATGGCCAACTTAACCCGTGTCACACTTCTTGTTGGCTGACAGGGGATGCTCAGAAATTTAGTTTTGCTTTAACATGTTTTAATTCACTGGAAAAATGGCAGAGTCTTCCTTAAATGGAAACAAATTAAGAGCAAGTAGAAGTCTCAAGTTTTTTAGAGAAACCAGAAATTTCTATAAATTTCAACAAAAGATCCAAGTCTGCATTTTACCTCTGGTCTGCAGTCTTCATTCTGCATTTTACCCTCAGTCTGCATTTTACCCCTGTTCTGCAGTCTGTAGTCTGTGTTTTACACTGTAATTTAGTGTTAACAACTGAGTTGAAATGTAAATTGGCCACCATAAAGAGTAAAAAAGCTGACGTTTTGAGCATTAGCCCTTTGTCAGAGCGATTGTTTTACACTGACCAGTTCTATTTTTGAGATGAGAGGTACAAAAAAAAAAACATGGCCAGTCTCCCAAGAAACAGTAAGCTTTATTTTCCGTCAACCCACTGTGTTCCCAAGGAGCTTCGCCTTGAGAAACATTTGGGTTCTTAGGAATTAAAACTCATATTTTTCCTCAGGGCTAGCCACTAAGTAATTTGTTCTAAGCAGGAGATAACTGCAACACGTGCAACATGTGGACTGGTTTGTTGACCTCAAAAAGAAATTTGAATCTTTCTCATCATGTAACGAAATATCCCGAAATATTTCATGTCAAAGATATCAAAGATACATTATGGAGCTGAACCCCCCCAAAAAAATCCACATTGTACAGAATTGCTGTTCAGGATCAAATGATTCTAAATTATACGAGGAATATCTGTAAGCCAGCTGTACGGCTTGCATCTACATCTTCATTTAAGGTATAATTTCCGCACAGCCCCATACTATTGTAAAACAAGTAAGTAATTTAGTGTTAACAACTGGGTTGAAAACGTAAATTAGCCACCGTAAAGGGTAAAAAAGCTGACGTTTCGAGCGTTAGCCAAAAACAAATCTATTTTCCCAATGGCAATGTATTGTTTTTGTCATTGTTTTCTTTATCCAGGAACTGAATGCATAATGTAGTGTGGGGCTTTGCGGAAATTTTAGCATATTTTCATATGTTCTAAGCTCAATTGGAATATGTGTGATTCTGTCCACAAAATGCTTTTCATGCCCTCTCTTGCGGACGCCATGAGGAGTTGTTCAATCAAGATTCTGTGTTTAATAGGCATGTTTATACTAAAAATATAGCTAGTTGTATCCTTTGAAATTTTAAATTCTTAAATCTTAAACTGGTGTCGTGATGACAAATTCACCTTACCTTGAGGGAGATCCTTCATCTTCGGATAGAAAAATTCTCCTCGAAGATTCTTCAACTCATCACTATCGTCCATCATCTCTGCGAATTTTGCATCAGTCATATCTAATTCAGCTGATTTTGCCAATCGCAGGAGCGTTCGACATGGTTCGAAGTTCAGTTGCTCGCGGCATTTCTTACCTAGTTTGTCGTAAAATGTCATTTTAAGTAATTTCGAATGTAAACACTCCGTGCTAGCATACACAACAACGAGAGACAACGTTTAATCAATTTAGTGCGCGGGAAATACTGGCCGTGTGACATTGGGTGCTAGAATCGCTCTTTCGTTATTCTGTAAGAATTCTTTCTGATCATGATTGGTCTTCATGAGTATTAAGTGGGTATCAACAACCAATTTCTCTCTTCCAAACGATTTAGGCTTGTTTCTCATCATTAAATACTTCCCTTAATAGAAATTGACTTAAAAAAAGGAAATGAAAAGAGAAATACAGCAGCAAAGCTCATCACTAGGGTTAACAAATGCAGTTATTGTTAACAGAAGCAACTTAATTTTTATGACAGACAATCAAAGTATAAACTCATCATACTAACTGACTTCCCTGTACACTCAAAGAAACACAAACATTCTTTTGAATACTTTCACTTTTTTATTTTTCTTTTATTTTTTCTTGACATGATATAATTACAATATAATTTGCTTCAAAAACGTTAAAGGCTGGTCATATCATGGCAGATTTGAAGCTTAGCAGCTGGTAGTAAATGCATTGCTAAATTAGAAATGGCAACAACAGCAAATAGAAATATGCCAAAACATGAACTAAGTGTTATGCCTTTTCTTCTTCTTTATTTAACCTTATCAAATGATATGTAGGATGAAAGGTAAAAATACCTACATTGACAGTTATTCTTTTTTCAAGAATGCTGCAGTCTTGGACTGCTTGATTTCAAGCAGACATTATCTTTTCTAAGCCTGTTTTACACAAGGAAACTCTTAAGTCAAATTCTTATCCCATAACACATGTAAGCAAAATTCCTATTTTCAAATATACTTTTAACAACTGCAGAATTTGACAATAATTTCACTATTTCCAATGTATTTTTTTTTTCAACCGCACGGCGATCACACTTTTTGCTCTCATAGAGAGTAACCTCAATTTACACCTACATTACATCATTGAAGACCATGTTGTTACTCAATAAGTGCAGAAATCTTCTTCTGCAGTAACTCTCAGCTGAGTCATAAGGCACTTTCTGGTAGAAAAACAACATGGCAAACAATGCTTGCACAGGTATATATACATTAGGGGGTGTACAACACTCTGTCTTATTCATTCCACAATGGGAAAGTTGATCAGACATGGTCATTTTCAATAATATTGATAATACAGAAAAAGCAGTAACTTTGCCTTATCTCGTTGCCACTAAAACCTTGTCACTGCTAAGGAAAATCATTTTACACATCTAGTGAAACAACAAAAACTGTTCCTTAACCATAATTGGTAGTACTCCTACCTCAACCAAATCAAAACTTTAGCATGCCTTTCACAAAAAGACATATTCTCAACTGTGGATGCAGAGGAAATTCAGTTTTACTTGTAAATGTAGTTTATGATTAGAAAAAGAAAATTAGGAGCTAGTGTATATTTATATCTATTTACTTGTAATGTTCATGTACTCTACAGCTGTACTCAACTACTATAGTGGTTAAAATTCAGTGTTTGGAGAGTCCATTCCCCATATCACACAAAATATTAGCTAAGACTGTCACATTGGCACTTGGGTTATCATTAATAGCCTTTCTCATAGCAGCTTCTGGCACAGATTCCCCAAATATGCCAACCAATCTCTCAAGTTTTAAATTCAATGTCTCCTGGTCTCTCTCAGGATGGTAAAATCTGCATTTAAGACCATAAGTACACTTCTTCAAATAAGGGCAAATTCGAGGGTGAGTAGCAGAGCCCTTTCGAAGAAAGTCCTCAAGATTGGGTCCATGTTTGCCCAGTGGGTCATCAGGAACCATAAACTTGTCCCCAACAAAAGAGTACATCAGTAATCTTTGTTCGATTGTCTCTCTCCATTTTGGATTTTCATTTGTCAAGTCTCTAAAGTTATCATTTGAGACAACCACACCATCTGTCTCTGCTGCAAGTTTGATGATAAAGCGGTCATCATAACAAACAATTCTTCTGCCATTCACTTTCCTGGATGGAGTGAAAACTAGGATACCATCACGCTCAAGACTGTACAGAATATCCTGATCTGTAATGGGTTTGTCCGGACGCGAGGCTTCCTTCCGCCATAATGGCACAAAAACTGTGATTTCTTTGTGTCCCCTTGCTCTAAACCACTCAACACACAGTTGAATGCCTCTACAGGAAAAGATATCTTGTCTTCCATGACTGTGCAAAAGAAAGGAAAAAAATTTCAATTTTTTGTATAGAAAACAGAACAGAGAAAGATGAAAGTCTACTTTATTATTATGTACTTTAGTGATAGGTTTAATTTGATCTGGTATATAATCATTTGAGGAGGATGTTCTGGCTATTTATAACAACTAAATTCCAGCATATTTGCATATGCAAGATGACAAAGAAACCCATTGTAAGATCAACAGGAACAGGAACTTGTCTATCAGCTCATTTTATTTCTTTTACTTGTCCATTTTTTTATATTTGAGTAACAAATTCACATTCAAATGACAGACTCAAAAATTAATCTTCAAAAATGCACAAAGTAGTCTCTTCAAAAAATAGTTTCAGAAAAACTGTGTTGGTTCGAAACCAATATGTCGTGTAAGGGATGTTGCCCAACAAAGGAAGTTACTCAACCACAAGGATAATATTACACATTTGACCTTGTTTAAGCTCTGAAACAACTGCTCATGCTCAGAGTATATTCAAATTAGCTTCCTGTTCACAGATCTCATTTCAACAAAACAAAACTCTCTTGTTTCAGCATGTCACATTTTTTCTCCCACTAAAACAAAGTCCAATAATTTCGCAATTCCGCCACATTTTTCAGTCTTGTAAATCCCTAAACCTTGATCATGACCTATTCTAATCGCAAAGATTTTCAAATGTTGCTAACTGCTTTAATCAAAGAAAATTTGTATTGATGGATATATGAAAACCTACATTAAAATAAAAAGTCCTTCCAAACTGAGCAGAAGTTACTCACCTCATAGCAACATTGCTCCCATCAATAACCACTGGTCTTAAGTTTGAAGACGAATTCCCCGAAACTTTCTTAGCACCAAGTATTTGTTGATACATCAGTTGTTCTTGTTCGTCAAGTCTGTCACTAGCACTGCTGCTTGCTTCTCTGTGGTTCTCATATGGAGATGGTCCAGGGTTACTGTAGGGCTGAACCTGCATTAAAGGGGGAACAGAAGGCCCTGCTCCTCTAGCAATGATATCAGGAGGACGTTCGAGAACTCTTTTTGTTCCTCTCGGAATAGCTTCGGGATAAAGTTCATGGTTTGGCCTAGGCATCGCAGAAGCCCCTTTTGCCATCAAATCTCTTTCCCAGCTGTGTTGAACACTAGGTACTGCAGCTCTGGGGTTCTCATAGCCAGCCCTTAACACATGAGCAGAGGTGTTTGGCGCTCCCCTGGCCACAACTTCTCTCCTAACAGGGTAAGGACCCATTGCTGAAGTAGGTTTGGGTTGTGCAGAAGCAGAAATTTGATAAGGCAACGATGCAGTTGTTTTCAGAAGTTCGTTCAAAAGCGTGTTCTGACTTACATCAGGTCCTAGCTTTTGGACAGCCTGGTCTATGACTTGGTTAGAATAGCCCAGCTTTCGTGCAAATTCCCTCAATTGAGGTTCGATGGCGGGCACGCTTGGCGGATGCGAAGTTGGAGGTGTACGCAACTTGTCTTCAATCGCCGACTGCGCCATCGTAACCGACACTGCACTGCCTTGAAGATGACAACTGTTTCGTGAAGTAAACTTTAACACAGCACTTGTAGTTTTTTCAAGTTCATCAAGTGATTTAAACAGAATTTCGTAGAAGCGCTCGCTGAACGGAACTTCTAACTCCAGCTCAGGATTACAAAGGGACTTAACATATTCCTAGAAAGGAAAGAGATTCCATGTAAGCTTCCAAAAGCGAGGCCCACAATAAACACACGCTCACAATGTTTTCTTATTTTTTTTGCGCTTTTCTTTGAAAGAATGTAATTATAATTTTATTCAGAAAACCCGAAGGAAAGCAGCTGGGAAATTAACTTCGTCTCTTTGATTGTCAGAGATTCGCATTTCAACCGTTGAGCACTTTGGGCTAAAAGCATGCTTTCTATCGAAATAAAATATGTTTCCAGCAGAAGAAGACAGAATAAGAGTTCCAAAATTCAAGCTTTTAAGAGGACAACCGCACGTAAACTCGCCGTTAAGCTTTTCATTTCAATGCGGAAGTTTTAAAAAGCCTTGTGACCTTCTCGTTGCATTTCGCAAGAAGGAATTTTTTCTCTCGAAGATACGCGCTATAAACGACACAAACACAAGCTGCAATTCCTACTAACCTTTGCCTTATCCACATTGTCCTTCTCTCCTTTTAAAGCTAGCCACTGAGTTCCACTTTTAGCAGCGCTTTCCTCGGGCGAACTGAATTGAACATCCACACTGAAGAGGAGCATAATTCGCTGAAACAAGCTGGCAACGAGGGAACGCTTTCCATGGCCAACACAAATTTCTTCGATAATATCGTTGTCCGCCATGTTCAATCGAAGGAAACTTTCCAGAAAATGATAACAGTGAAGATTAAAGTTCTTCTATAAGCGCCACAACAACGCCATAAGCGAAAACCTCGAATATCTACAAAGGAAGTTGAGGGCGGATTTGATCAGTCTTATAAATAATACTCTTTGTAGAAACGACAGGATTGGAGAATAGTGCTATGACGTCATGTCTTTCATAACAAGCAAGTATCTTAAGACTTCCTTTAGGGAGGGGTAAGGAGTACGTTGTTCAAAACAACGAAAAATTCACGGCAAGGCAATTTTCTTCCTCTGTAACTCTGTAACTCTGTAACTCTGTAAATTTACTACAGAAAACACGATCGATTTGAATTTTATAACATAAAGATACCAAAATACCTTGTATACATGTCTAAAATATTCCCCCCATACTCCCCTCCCTAACGTTCCGTTTGGAGGGTTTGTCATAAAACACGTAAGGAATATAAAGTCATGCAAGATAAATAGACTTCCTAGAAACTGGTTCAAAACATAAAAACTGACCAAGAAAGCTATAGCGTAACACATCTTTTGGTTTCAATGGCTGTTAATCAAGACCACCTATTAAAATAATTTATGACACGAGATAAAACGTGGTAAAATTTCCTGACTATGAAAACATCTGTTTAAGACAAAACCTATATTTATTCCGTGCACGTCTGTACTTTTTATCCTTGTCATCCAAACTAACTACAAAGCGTAAATCAAGTTATCGAAAAGCGCAGTTTGTCTATAAATGCAAGTATTTTATTGCGGAAAGTGGATCAGTGCACAAACTATGTTTGCCGCCGTCACGGCTGTCGGTCGTGCTGAAAAGGGGTGACTAGGGCATCAAAGTGCGTCAGATGATACCTAATCAACAACTCTAGAAATTTCTCTCTAAAAAAAGTGATTTTTTAAGGAAGACTTTGAAAGGAAAGTACAACAAAACGCGAGAGCGGACGAGGAACGCTGTTTCGAGAGGGACTTCAGTTTTCCATTCCAGTTGCGGAAAATATCTAAAATGAGAAGTGTTTAGCTTAGACTTCCGCTTTAAAAACGAAAATGCAGAGTTCTTTAATTCGGTTGCTAAACTGTACCAGTATTTTACCAAGAAACTGAAAGGACATGAAATAATATCGTCATCGCTAGTTTTTTTGACTGTTTTCTTATTTGTTCGAGAAATTACTGGAGTAATGTTATGCCCTCTTACTACTATTGTTGCTTAATTTGACTTACATGAGTTAAATTATCACGTAAAATACATTCATAATGACACACCTTGTATGGGAGTAGAAATGAATAGAGATTATGGATAAAGGCGCTGAGATTGTGGATTAAGCATTTCCCTTGAATATGTTATTAGAAAATTGTGAGCTCTTTCCGTCCATAATTGTATGCAAACAAGACACTAAAACAAAACAGATCTTAAAATATCCTTTCCCCTCCAAATGTAAGAGGCCTCGAGGCATGTATCAAGAAAATTTCGTGCATAAAAGGTTTCCTTGCCGATTCACGGGTTTGAATCCGGGAGTCCCAAAAAAGAAATTTCGGGAAAGAAACGTATTCAAGATTTACTTACCTTTCTAGAATCTTTTTTGCCGTACAGTGGTCCCAAGGTTCGTCTAACAGCCAAAGAATGTCTCTCAACTGCGTGAAGTGAGACAAACAGGAAGAACATATTATAAATTGCACCATCTGTAATCTGATTGGCTAAATCTCTAACGGCCGCGCGAACGTGACGTTCGTGACGCAAAGCAGGATGAACCGTTTTGCGGTTTGATTGGTCAAATTCTGACACAGAGCATTGGAAGATGCGACTGTTAGTTTTCGTCACGTCCATTACACTAAGTTCTGATTTTACGCGATCATTTCTATAGAGAAGTTTATTTTACACTTCGTCCCTATTGAGCTTGCTTCCCCCCTTAGTAAAAACTTCATTCGGCTATGATTCAGTTCTTTTCATTTGGGAGGTCAATCCAACACGCGTCAGTTATTGATAGTTTTGCACTCATTCACTGAAAACAATCAATTTTCCGTGAAACGTCGAACAGGAATGGTGAAGCAGCATACGCAATGTAAATCAACTTACATAAATTGTACGTTTTCCGAGAAAAATATGGTGGAATGGAAATAATTTGTCGCTGGTTTCCAAGCCTAGTAGATTGAATATCAATAAAACACAATGATGGTAGGCATTACTTACAATAGGCCTACGCAGTAGTCCGACTTGAAAAGGCGGCAGGGTGTAGTGATTTCGCTGTCATATTTAGATTTACCTCCCATAGGAAACTGTGACCGTGTAGGTTCGTGTATTGTCAGTAGATGAATTTTTAGAATATTTACAAACATTTACGGTCTGAAGGACAGGAAGTAAGTATTGATAGAGCTAGACTCGTTGATTAAAATTCTCCGGGTTTGCTGATTCCCTTGGGCTGACTCATTACGAATTCAAGTCAATTCTACGTTTTCAAAGAATTCTTATTTCGAGCGTTTTTCGTCGTTTTCTTGAAGAAGACTGAAACCGTGGGTTGCAAGACAACGGGAAATGATAACGGTGGAGCGAAGGGAGGATGGAAGGGTTTTAAAAAGGAAGAGGAAGACAACTCAAGAACAAGAATTTCGAATTTTATCCGCTAGAACTGTGGAGGATATGCAACACTGCGTAACAGTACAACGGGAAGCACGAGTTTCAGTCACCAGTTCCTGTGGAATAAATTTTTTTTTTTCTGTAGAAAATTGTTATCTCGTGAGTGATGCAATTAATTAAATTAGCATTGTTCCATTCGGGTGGATTCAAACCTCAGCCAGTTCCGACTTCAAAGTCTTTCAACCAGCAATCATTTTTTAAGCGATCAGAACCATGATAGCGGTTCATAGGTTACAAGCAAACTGCGAGTTGTTCTTTTTTAACCGTTTGCATTTTTTATTCGTACTTTTAACGCGTGGGTGGTTTCTATTTCACTCAACCCTCCTCTGCACGAATCTTAAACTTACTTCTTATCAGTGGCCTTGGCTAGTTGTTTGAGATGCTTGGCTCCGAGGTTGTACGATTGCCCGATTCCTTACAGTGAACGAAATGTTTAGCTTCTTCAGAATGGTTGAATACAAATCATTATTCCATTTTCTAGAGAGCGCGATCAAGTTTAAATAGTGTTCGAATACCTCTTTGTTAGGAAAAGAATCATTATCATTCTTTTGAAAAGTATGACAAATGATTACAGCAAAAGAAAGAGAAAATCACAAGCGTCAAGTTCTAAGATGTCTTAACACCATTCCTATTAAACATTCATCCGTATGGGTCGGCTTTAAAAAAATTTTTCTTGACACGGCCATGAAAGAGGGAGAAAAGTTTTTTCTCTAGATCGAAAGCGGTGAAGTTCCCTTGAAGGAACTCGCTCAACCACAAGGAATAATCTTTTGACGACCCTAGGCCTGTTCAAGCTTCACATTAATTGCACATGTTCAGAGCATAGAAAATATTAACTTCCTGTTCGTCAAAACTAACTGAGTCAGCTCCCAATGACTGAAACCTTACGCTTACTCGAACCAATATCGATTTTCCACCATGCATTAACTTTAATTTCAACGTCGGTTTCTCAAATCATTGATGACTCGAACTTCCGCCGGATTTCGTTTCCCTCGTTAAGGTCATTTTTTTTTTCATAAAACTCTACTATCGAAAAGTCGAACCAAGTTTGTCACAACGACGGAATGACAGGTCCAAATTTAGAGTGCTGCTGTCCAACTCCTTGCTTTAATTCAAACAATCGTGTATCCTATCTTTTTGTTTCCCTGGTATTATACGAAGAGATATTTACTGAATTATTTAGTTACTATTTTAGTGATTTGTGTATATATAGTTTTAGTTAAGACTCATTGAATTTGAAGTCCGAAGATATTAATTTTGGGTATATATCCTATCGCCTAGAGTTTCCTAATTGTAACTGTCTTGTCTAACTTCCAGAAGAGGATAAGGTTAGTTTCTTTAACCCACACTTTAGTTCTTGCGTGTTTTGGCTTTATCAGACAAATATTGATTGTTTACTGAATCGGAAGCATTGAAAATGCTGTTGTTCATTTGTGAGATCATTCTTGTAAAAGTTTTGTGGTTGGTGTTCTAACAACAAATGTTCAATCTTCCAAAATGAAGTGGCCAGCGTTCCCACCAATGGTGAATGTAAAAGCGGGTACAGTGGATTTCGCATTAAGAGAGTGTAACCGATGAGAGTTGCTCAGAGTTTGTAAGAATCAATTAGAGTCGATCAATCAGTCGGAGAACAAAGATTTAAGAAGACCGAGAAGGGTAGGTAGGTAGTCTTTCGCTAAGCCTAGTATAAGTTCTGCAACTAGTTTCCCCTGTCATTGCGACGATTTTAAATAGCAACTTATTCAAATTTCATTAATTTATTAATAAACTCTTTCAATTTTTCATCCTCATTCTTTAATCCTGATTTTTTTTGCCACAGTTGCGTGCAAACATTTCCTCCACTTAACAACTCCGTGGGAGCACATTCCTGTAAACTTTCTGAGAATAAAGGCGAAATGTGTCACAACATAATTACAAGTCGATATGTTTATGGTGACCAATCAATGTTGGAATTTGGTGAAAGGGAAACTGGGAACTCTCATAGCTTTCTCAAACTGATTGAAATCACGCCAAAATACACGGCTCGTAATGAGAGACTTGTTCTGTCACTACCACTTCCCACAGGGTGGTAAATCTTTAAAGTAACCTGAAAAACGTCGGATTTGACGTAGCTTGTGAGGATATTTGTACTAAGTCGTTTGCAAAAGAGAAATCGATTTAAATAGAGATGCACCGGCCTAAGTATTCGACAACGACATGATAGAATGCTCAAGCTCCAAGTTTGATTCTGCAATGGTGGCTTTGCTCCTGAGTGCTTTTAATAGTACGATCTCCCTGGAAGTTGTAACACCAGCATCACCAAATCCTTTACTTGAACAAGTTACCCTCATCATTAACTTATATCCTTTTGAGAATTAATGAACGCTCTGGCTTTCACGAGGTCTTTGTGCTGTGTGCATGTCTATGCGGTGCCTCTGTCCTCTCAGGTAACATTAACGAGCCTCAAGGATTTTTTGCGCATAGTTTGGTTTCTCTTCAATGAAAGCGAGAGTTAATTTGCTAAACAGCCAGATGTTACCTATCGTGGGCATTATAAGAAGAGCTCTCTTCCTTAAATGCTCTTCAGTCTGGGGTGTGATTAAAAAGACGCTATTTTTCAGGCTTAAAATTAAGCCTCGTTTTCCGGACTCTTCCTTATTACTTTTCAAAAATAAATCCTTCAGTATGAAGACAAATTAGAGTACGGACTGATGTGAACGACTGATGTGAACATGTCACCTTTTGCCTTATCCTTTCACTGAGTATGGTGGAAAACTGCATAAAGAGTAAAACTTTGATAAACTTGAAGTTCGCTTTGGCGAGCGTTACATGTAATAGATCATTTTCTCCTTGAACGAGAGATATTCTGGCAATGACATCTGCGAAGCAGACAGAATTTTCAGTAGCCTTAGTTGAGGCAAAAGTTAACTTTCTTTGTTTGCTCAGAGTCCTTATACTATTCATTGTTTACATCGAGTTCACATTGTGCAAAAGACGACTGGTCGACAGTTATGGGAGTAGCTAATTACCATTGGTCTTGAGAGCGAGGTCCTGTCCGAATTGAATCCTGGGACCGCTGGAATTAAATTCGACGATTGTGCGCATTATACTTAAACATAAATGGTACACTAGCCACGAACCACGACCCAGAACCCACTAAAAAACCAGCTGCTTCTGAATAACTCTGCGAAGTCTGTTTTTTTCATCCGAATGCGTCTTTGTGATAGCGATAATTTCGAAGTTTTGTTTGATTATGCATTAACTTTTAAGGATGCGAACTTGTTTAACAGAGACGGAACAGTATGGTGGCCCTAGAGGACCATTTTTGTATGGCTTAACAACAACTAAGCACTTTATTACCAAAATAGAGAAACTATGGACTACAGAAAAAGGATAATTGGTACAGATAATTGTGGCTTACCAGCAACACTAAGTCTAATTGTTTAATAGTGCTCACAACACCAAGAAACACCTCATTCACAAGATGATGCATTAATATGTAGCCCTACTTTCTACAAAAAGATGAGAGATCTGACTTAACATTATTTCAATAATTACTTTCTAGTCTTTTGTGACCAGTGCTGACGAGTGTCTGAACTTTCTACTGTAAAAAAAAAGTTTTGCCAATTTAGGGGTAAAACAGCAAACTGGCCCAGAAATAATTAAGTAACATTTAAAATGTTACTAAAATGAGAAAAATTTGCACAAAATATGGAAGACAGCGCAGTTTTGCCAATCTTGTGTTAAGAAGCACAAATGGCCCAAAACTTTTGTCGTTTTTTTCTGGTTCAGAAATAATGCTTTTATGGTGATGGCTTGCCTTTGGCAGAATCAACAGTTTTTTATTGAAGAAGATCCAACCTACATTTGTTATGTTTATATCATTTACTAGAAGTTTTTAAGTAGTAACCGGAACTTACTGTTTGTCTATTACGCTTTCATTAACATGTCTACTAAAAAAACTAAAATCTAAGGATTTTCACACGAGGGAAACATCGGGCACTAACCATCACAATACACAGATAATCAGTGTTCCTTCTTTGGTGTTGTTTCCTTAAGCCTCAGATTGGGAAGTCTACCGTCATCTCGCCACCGGGAAGACTCGCCACTAGGAAGACTCGCCCCCAAGGCAATCTTGCCACCATCAAGTCTTCCTGGTGGCAAGGTGTCTGAATACCGATTGGGCTCGTATTGCACCACAACGAAGATAATGCAACACTTGGGCCAGGCGAGGACTCTAGGGTAAACACCCAAGTTTTGAGCTCGTAGGAAGACTATGAGGGTCGTCATGTAGTAAAAGCCGAACCCAATGAACACGTGCCATAGAGTGTGTCCAAAGATGACAATGGCGACACTGTGGTTACCATGTTGCACACATACCACCTCATCAAGGATCCAGAAGAGGTACGCCAGTATAACTGAGATGATGGTTTTCCATACTAGATTGAACATTGCTTGTCGCCTCGGGTGTCCTGGCGTTCCTAAGTGGTCCCGTAGGCACCAAATGATCATCAATCCGATTAAAGCGAAAATCCAAATCCCATCAAATGTGATCCAAGAGATCCAAGACTGCTCTAAAGTAATTCCCAAAACATGAGCAAAGAATGGGTAAATAGAGAAGAACATGATCAGCAAGTAGGAGGATATCTTGTAACATAGGTGTTCTTCTTCGGGGATGCAACTCATGTAAACAATGTTGATGGCCTGGAGGAAGTTAAGTTGGACATCAAGGACTCGGTAGAAGCCCTCCCACAAATTCCAATGGAAGCAGCAACTGGATATGCCATAGCCGAACATAGCAGAGTACAGAAACTTGCCTCCTTCGGTTATTCTCGTGGACAGCAACATACCAGAGAGACCAAGAGCAGCGACGAACAAGCATGCAAACATTGGCGGCGGTTCTTTTACAGGACCCATCGGTGCAAACACGCTTGACCAACATGTTCCAATGTGAGGTTTTGTAAAAGTCTGATTGTTGCCCATTTTCTAGGGAAACAATGTTTAGAAGTTTATTATGTGGGGTAAACGTTACCATATAATCGTTGGAAGGTCCATTTTTAGGCTTGGGTAATGTTATTATTCAAGTTTTCCAAGTTTTAACGAGACAGGCTTTTTCTGATAGTATTTCTAATAGAAAATATAGGAAGCATGAAGAACACTCCCAACACAATCAACACGATCGTAGTTGTCTCAGTTATCGCAACCCAACTCCCACTTCACCCCAGACTACGGCATTGACTACACATGCCATGTCCGTAAGTGGAATGGGAACTAGTAATTTCGGGTCATGCATTTAGAGCGAAAAACGTATTGCGCAACTTTCTGCCTATCCCAACTTATAGGCCGAGGCAACTCCTGCCTCAATGAGGATGGCGAACTGTAATATATATATATATATGCTTTATTAAATTCTCCTATTGAGGCTTTTCAGAACTTGATTTCAATGTAAAAAATTATATTGGAAGAATAATAATTTATAGTAATATTTTAATGCATATAATAGTTATATTTAAAAACTATATAAGTACTCCTAAAAAACACTCACAAAAACTAGTTTAAATCTTAGAAAAGAGTGAATACATCTAACGCTCTCGGGCAGATTGTTCCATACTGTAACTGCTCTATACAAGAAACTGCGCCGACCTGCAGATGAACAGTACTTCGGAATCTGCAACAGATTCTTAATTCTGTTGTTGCGGCCGTGGATGTCTGATCTTAAGATAAACCTGTCACTCAAGTACGATGGAGCTAGACCTTTGAGGCACTTAGAAGCCATAGCAGCATCTCTTAATCTTAGCATCTGAAGCGCTGAGAGCCAGTATAACTGTTTCAAAGCTGGCGTTATATGATCGTGTTTCTTAGTGTTATAACACGTGCAGCATAGTTTCCTCTAACATGAGCCTGGCACTAAATACGTTTATCCGCTCTAAAAGACGTGCGCATGACGTAAAAAGGCTGTGACAAGAACCTCGGTTCTTAGAAAAGGGCTTTTTATCTGTTGTCTTTTTTTCTATGAAACGCCATCTGAAATTCTTTGTTAATATTTGAGACAAGATGTCTTGCATAATTTCGCTTAAACTTTAGGAACTTTAAGACACGAAAGCCTCTTACGCGCGATTTTCGCTATTCAGAATAGCGGTACACAGTTTCTGACTTCATTTGGAATTCATGAGTCGGAAGATAGATTTGATTTGATCTATCAACGCCTTGCAAAATTTGATAAGCAAAAGTCCATTGTTTAATGGACTCGTTGGTTAAGTCAGAATTAAAATTGACTTCGTGAGCGTCGCACAACAAAATATACTTCCATATCGAGATTTAATTTGATCTATCAACGCTTTGCACAAGTAGGTAAATCTTCCCAACTTTATTTTGTAAGCATAAACAGAATGTTACGCGTACACTAACCATATTTGTAGAGATTAGTATAATGACTCATGACCCATGGTGGCTAAGCCAAGGACCGAGAACTCTTTATTTGCATTATGGAAGGATCCAGATTTTAATATTGATTAAAAGTCTTTGTATAAACGACAGGATTGGAGAATAGCAATATGACGTCTTGTCATTTCATAACAAACAAATTTCTTAAGACTTCCTTTAGGGAGGGGTAAGGAGTGCCTTGTGCAAAACCAAAATTTTTAGGACAAATTTACGGCAAAACCATTTCCACCGTGGTAAATATACAACAGAAAACGCGATCAATTTAAATCTACAACAAAAATATACTAAAATACTTGGTATCCACATCTTAAATATTCCCTCCATACTACCCCCTCTAACGTTCCGTTTGACTGAGATAAATAGACTCCCTAGAACTGGTTCAAAACGTATAAACTTACCAAGAAAGCTGTAGCGTATCACTTGTTTTGGTTTCAATGGCTGCTAATCGAGACCGCCCATTAAAATAATTATTACACGAGATAAAACGTGGTAAAATTTCCTGACTGTAAAGACATCTGTTAAGGACAAAACTCTTCTTTATTCGGTGCACGTCTGTACTTTTTATCCTTGCCATCTAAACTAAATTATCGAATTCATCGAAAAGCGCGGTTTCTCTGCAGATGCAAGTATTTTATTGCGAAACGTGGGTCAGTGCACAAACTACGTTTGCCCCTACGTTTTGCTGCTATTTTTCTAACTGTTTTCTTACTTGTTCGAGAAATTACTGGAGCAATGTTCTGCCCTCTTATTGTTATTGTTGCTTCATTTTACTTACATGAGTTGAATTATCACACAGATACATTTATTATGAAACGCCTTGTATAAGAGTAAAAATGAATAGAGATCATGGGTAAAGCTGGGAGCATTCCCCTTAAATCCGTTATCAGAAAAGTGTGGGCTCTTTCCGTCTGAAATTGTATGCAAACAAACAAGATATGAGAACAAAACAGATCTTAAAATATTCTTTGCCCTCCAAATGTAACAGGCCTCAAGGCATGTATCAAGAATAGTTTGGGCAGCAGAGGTTTCCTTCACGGGTTTGATTGTGGGAATCAGTAAAGAACATTTCGGTAAAAAAAATGCTCTTACGATTTACTTACCTTGCTAGTAACTTTTTTCCATACAGTGGCCCCAAAGTTCGTCAAACATGTACAGACATGAAGAGTTTTCTGAACTGCATGAAATGATACAAACGGGAAGAACGTATCATAAATTGTACCATCTGTAATCTGATTGGTTGAATCTTTGACGGTTGCGAGAACGTGACGTTCGTGACACTTAGAATGATGAATCGTTCTGTGATTTGTTTTGTCAAATATCACGGACTCAGATCAATGGAAGATGCGACTCCTAGTTTTCGTCACGTCCATTACACTAAGTTCAGACGTTTACACGATCATTTGTTTATAAAAGTTTATTTATCACTTCATCCCTGTTGAGCTTGTTTCCCCCCTTAGTAAAAACTGCACTCAGCTATAATTCGGTTTTTTTCATTTGGAAAGTCAATCGAACGCGCGTATTTATTGATAGTTTTGCACTCATTCACTTAACACATCAAGAAACGTCTAACAGAAATGGTGAAGTGGTACACGCAATATAAATGAGCTTACGTAAATCGTGCCCTTTGCGAGAAAAGTATGATGAGATTGAAATAATTTGTCGCTGGTTTCCAAGTCTAATAGATTGAATATCAATAAAACACAATGATGATAGGCACTACTTACAATAGGCCTACGCAGTAGTTCGACTTGAAAAGGCGGCAGGGTGTAATGACCCCGCTGTCATATTTAGATTTACCTCTGCTAGGAAACTGTGACCGTGTAGGTTCGTGTATTGTCAGTAGATGAATTTTCAGAATATTTCTCAACATTTACTGTCTGAAGGACAGGAATTAAACCCAGTCTAGTATTGATATTGATAGAGCAAGACTCGTTGATTAAAATTCTCCGGGTTTGCTGATTCCCTTAGACTGACTCATTACGAATTCAAGTCAATGCTACAGTTTCAAATTCTTATTTTGAGCGTTTTTCGTCGTTTACTCGAAGAGGACTGAAATCGTGGGTGGCAAGACAAAGTGAAAAGATAACGGCGGAGCGAAGGGAGGATGGAAGGGTTTTAAAAAGGAAAGGAAGACAACAAGAACCAGAATTTCGAATTTTATCCGCTAGAACTGTGGAGGATATGCAACACTGCGTAGCCCAACAGTACAATGGAAAGCACGAGTTTCAGTCATCAGTTCCTGCGAAATAGGATCTCTTTTCTTTAAGAAATCGTTATCACGTAAGTGAGGCAATGAATTAAATTAGCACTGTTCCATTCGGGTGGATTCAAACCTCAGCCAGTTCCGACTTCAAAGCCTTCCAACCAGCAATCATTTTTTTAGCGAGCAGAACCATGATAGCGGTTCATAGGTTACAAGCAAACTGCGAGTTGTCCTTTTTTGATTCGTGCTTTTAACACGTGGGTGGTTTCTATTTCACTCAATCCTCCTCTGCACGGATCGATTTACTTACCTTTCTAGAATCTTTTTTGCCGCACAGTGGTCCCAAGGTTCGTTTAACGACCAAAAAATGTTTCTCGACTGCATGGTGTGAGACAAACAGGAAGAACATAGTTTAAATTGTACCGTCTGTAATCGGATTGGCTGAATCTATAACGGTTGCGTGAACGTGACACTTAGAGGGATGAACCGCTCTGTGATTTGATTGGTCAAATTGTGACACAGGGCAGTGGAAGATGCGTTTGCTAATTTTCGTCACGTCCATTACACTAAGTTCTGATGTTTCCGCGATCATTTCTAAAGAGAAGTTTATTTTACACTTCATCTCTCTTGAGCTTGCTACTCCCCCACAGTAAAAACTGCATTCAGCTATAATTCGGTTCCTTAATTATAATTTGGTTTCGATTTCACTCAACCCTCCTGTGCACTGATCTTAACCTCACTTCTTATGGCCAATGGCTGGTTGTTTGAGATGCTCGGCACCGTGGCTGTACGACTGCCCGATTCCTTACAGGAGTGTGCGCAAAGATCAAATAAACAATCAAAATTTAAGAATTTGTTCAAGCTTAGCGTGGGTATATCGAGTTATGGATGCACGCGGGAAGTTTGGAGAGCACGAAAAATGCGTAAGAGTAGCTCGAGGCGCAGCCGAGAGCAACTCTAGCTTTTTGAGTGCTCTCCAAACTTCCCAAGTGCATCCACAACTCGATATACGCACAGCTAGAAGCATGAGCAAATTCATTTATAACAGAGTGACAACAAGGATCTGCGCGAAGAAGCCTTTTATTGCGATAGAGACCAAAATTCTCACAACGCACAAAAAAAAGTAAACAAACGTCCCTATTGGCTGGTCAAAAACACGCCACATTTTATACTTTGGTTTGAGCGAGGACATTTAAGCCATTTAACCGATAACAGTGAATGAAAAGCAGAAAATCTACGGGGAAAATGGAGAAAATCAAAGCCAGATGAACTCAAATGACACTAAAAAATGTTTTAAAAGTCAAAGACCCGAAGTTATCAAGGGTTTTGATTGTTCAAAATAATGTTTACGCTGCCGTGCACGGTACAATTGGAGAAGACAGACTGCAGGAAACTTGCAGTTTTCTCCTGGGCAACCACCACACTGTTATTTGACGAACAGTTAAGGCTGCAGCAGAAGACTCAGATTGGCTGCGAACACTGTATTGCTCACGTCATCTTATTTACGCACGGCCGTGCGTAAATAAAGATTTTGTTCATGGCGGCTCAATGGGACTTATATAGGGCAAGCACGCGCGCTATGTTATAAGAGTTATTAATCAAAATCAGTGTTCTAACAACAAATGTTTAATCTTTTAAGATGACTCGAGCAACATGCCCACCACGCTACCAATAGTGAATATAAAGGTGGGTACTGTGAAGAAAGAATCAATCAGTGTCGTTTTTGTTACAAACAAGTCGGTGAGTAACTGAACCATTAAAGAATTTTAGATCCACGTTTGGTGTGTTCACTGCAAACGTCAAACCACGGTTAGCAGTTTGTGGTTAGAGCTTAGAAGTAAGAAGGCAAACGGCGAACGTGACCGCTGGAGTCTGGTCACGTAGATCTGGTCAAATCTCGATCATCCTCGATTATCTGACCAATGATAAAAAGCACCCAGGGTGTGTGTCTCAAATGTAGAAACTAATGTATGAAAGGGACGCAAAACGTATTGCTACCAGTAAAGAGAGTAGCAGAACAAAGAAAAACATCAAACTGGATGGCAATAGGTGAATGGACAAACACAATGTGAATTGATGTCGTAACTTGCTGTGGGGCTTCATGAACTGTTAAAACGTGTCCACCTCACGCAGTCATATCAGGATATGATTTCAGTAATTAAGCTGGCTGTATACTAATGGTGGACCACAACGATTTTTTTGGATCACATACAAACCCATACATTAAGAAAGATGTTTTTTCGTCTTGTCACGAGCCAAAGACGTCCTGCATACTGCGTGCCATATGAACTTCGTAATAGACCTCGCTCACCGAAGAGTCTCTGTGGCGTGAGACAAAGAAAAAATTCAGAGCCCCCATGAGGAATCGAATCTCAGACCTTCGGATTTGCGCTCCGATGCTCTACCACTAAGCCACAGAGACTCTTCGGTGAGCGAGGTCTATTACGAAGTTCATATGACACGCAGTATGCAGGACGTATTTGGCTCGTGACAAGACGAAAAAACATCCTTCTCAATTCCTCACCGAGCTCAAAACTTACCATCCCTACTATTTCTATCAAAACCCATACATGTTTGAATACATACCCATACATGTTTGAATACATACCCATACATGTTTAAACCTCCTCCCAAAAACATTCAAAAGGATGTTTTCAATGCGCTTATAACTCTCAAAAAGGATCCGGACAGGCTCGTATTATCTGCTGACAAGGGTAATTGTGTTGTGGTTATGGACAAACAGCAATATCACGACAAAGCTTTGTCTCTGCTCAATGACAAGAGTACGTATGCTGTCTTAAACTCTGATCCAACCAGTAAAACTCAAAGAAAGTTAAACAAAATGTTGCTTGATTTGAAAAAAGCTGGCAGAATTAGTGACTCTACGTACAAAATGTTATATAGTAGTGACGGCTTATGTCCACGTTTTTATGGCTTACCTAAAATTCATAAACCGGGAATTCCTTTGAGACCCATTGTCTCTTTTGTTAATTCTCCGACTTATGCAATTTCTGGTTATCTTGCGACAATTTTGTCGCCTGTTGTTGGGAATACTGATTACACTGTCAAAAATTCCTGCGAATTTACGGATTTCATAAGAGATAAAACTCTTGACGCTTGTGAAGAATTAGTATCTTTCGACGTTGTTTCGCTCTTCACTAAAATCCCAGTTGATCTTGCCGTTAAGGTTGCGGAGGAAAGACTCAGAGAAGATGGTTCCCTAGGACAAAGAACTTCTTTGCCTGTGGAGGATATTATTCATCTGCTGTCTTTTTGCCTCAAAACCACGCAATTTACATATAACGGCACATACTATCAACAAGTTTTTGGTACAGCTATGGGTTCGCCTGTTTCTGCTGTCATTGCTAACATGGTAATGGAAGACGTGGAACAAAGGGCCTTAGCCACTTCACCGGTTAAACCCTTTTTCTGGAAACGATATGTCGATGATGTTATTTCTGCGGTATCCGGAAATGAAGCGGAGCGCCTCTTGTCGCATTTGAATTCAGTAGAGCCGTCGATCCAATTCACCCTTGAACGTGAAAAGGATAGACATTTGCCCTTTCTTGATTTAAATGTGTCTAGAGGGGTTCAGGGTAATTTAGAGACAAGTGTCTATCGTAAACCCACCCACACCGACAAATACCTCGCTTTCGATTCTCACCATCCTATTTGCCATAAAAAGTCTGTAGCCAAAACTTTACTTAGGAGGGCTGATTGTCTACCATCATCACTCGATTCGAAGGCTGAGGAGAGGAAATATGTTTCCAATGTCCTAAAGGCAAATGGCTATACAAAAACTTTTCTCCGTAACTGTCAAAAACCAGTTACAAATAGTAACGCTCTTGATGAAAGGGAACCAGCGACTGGTTTTGCTGTTATTCCTTACATACAGGGTGTTACTGAACCCATCAAGAGAATTTTGAATAGCCACAACGTTAAAGTTGCTCAAAAACCTTTTCAGACTTTGGGGCATATTTTCGCCAAACCTAAGGATCCTGTCACGAAAGAACAACGAACCGACGCCATTTATTCTATTCCTTGCAATGACTGTGATAACGAATACATCGGACAGACCAAACGCCAGTTTGGTACACGGTTAAAAGAGCACCAAAAAGCGGTTTTTCTTTGCAAAAAGGAAAATTCAGCTTTATCGGAGCATACTTGCCTAACCAACCATACAATTGGGTGGGATAATTCTAAAATTATCACTACTAATCGGCGTTACCACCAGCGCCTTTGTTTGGAGGCTTGGCACATTAACTCCGCCCACGCTCCTTTAAATCGTGACGATGGCGGTCTGCTTCCTGACGCCTATTTACACCTCGTCAGAAAAAAAGGCCGCTAATTAGTGATCATATAAAAGGACCTCTTGTTGCAGCGTTTAGATCACCCCTGATGAAGGCACTAGACAGGAGTGTCGAAACGTTGGGTCTATGAATTGTAACTTCTTCGGTTACATTCATTAAATCTGCAAACCAGTGTAGCTTCAAACTATGTCTGATTGTCCACCTGGTTGCCGTGTGAACTTTAATATATTTTATGTTTGAAGAATTTTAATTGTGCTAACATGAAAGGCTTCTCACTGAATACGTTGCGCAGATGGCTACTGAAAATAAAATCATAAAAGATGACCTAAATGAATTCAAATCTCAGCCTAAAGGTATTTCAAAGCTCGCTAAGCTATATGATAGTGTTTCCATTCTGGCCCGGTCCATGGAGAAATTCGTATTTTCCTTTGTTCTGCGCCTACGTGTGAGACACAGCCGGTAGAGTTGAAGATCAACCACCGGAATCAAGGACTCGATAATTTATTTGCACTATATCCGATCTGGTTGAACATATAGTTGCGCAAATGGCTACTGAAAATAAAATCATAAAAGATGACCCAAATGAATTCAAATCTCAGCCTAAAGATATTTCAAAGCTCGCTAAGCTATATGATAGTGTTTCCATTCTAGCCCGGTCCATGGAAGAAGATTGAAGATCAACCACGGAAATCAAGGATTCGAGAATTTTATTGCACTCTATCCGATCTGATCGAACATATATCTATATGTATACAGTCAACTGAAATTATAAAAATTATGAGAAAAAAAGTTACAGTAGCATACGTTTGCGAACGCGAGGGCGCAAAACGATAATACTTACAATTTGTATCTATCAGTCCTTCAGTTCCCGGTTAATTACAGTTCAAACGTCACTTCTTCAAACAATCGTGGCTCTGATCTCTCCCTCTGCTCGTTACAATATCTTTTGGCGAACTTTTCATATAACGTTTACGCAATGGAGGCATATACTTTCACGAAACTATGTAAATATTCTGCGCGAAATACCAAACACAGTATTCACAAATATAATGTTTCATGACAATGTTTATGAAAACGCGGACTGATTAATTTTAAAATTATTCCTTCAATGTATCCTCAAAGGGATAAGCCTAGTAGTTGTAAATAGTCTGCGTGAAATGCAGACTACCCTTGAACTACGGTTCAAATATCCTCCTGGACATCCTATAAGTAAAAAAATAAAACAAGCCGGTTGTCAGCTTATGTATCAGATAAAGGAAAAGAGAATGTTCCTTATTTATTTCCTTTTACTAGATAAACGATACTAAGCTCTACTGGTCATGAATGCTTTTATTATCAGTAAATTGTATAATTATTTTTTTTTGGCAAATGTGAAACAGAGAGACGGGAGCTTGCAATCTTGGTCACAGTTAGTAAACCAATCTTGGAGCTTGCACCAAGATTGGTAACTTTCTTTTAATATTGTTCCTTGTTAGAATACCAACTGTTTATTAATGTCCTACGTGTAGTTTTCTCTTCGGTTTCGTCCTTCCCAATTATGCAGTACAGACAATTTGACATTCAACGGCAATTTTTGCTTCACGACTTAAATATTTAACGATTCTCGTAAATTTTTGGGTCAGAATTAGTGATTATTCGTTTGGCCCCAAATGGATATAAAATGTTAACGGTTTTTTGCTCTACCGATCATGGATGCAAAATGTTTACCGCTTTGTTTTTAGTAAGTTCTTCCTCAAGACGCGTCAAAAGATGTGCAAATGAAGGACGTTCAGCCGGATCCAGATTCCAGCAAGACCTCATCAAATCATAACTGGGAAAGGAAAATAAAAAGTCTAGTCAGCCAGCTCTTGGAGCTGAACCATTATGACAGAACTTACTTTCATTCCATCAACGACCTCTTACATTTCATTCGGGCATCCTTCCGGCTTTGATAATTTTTTTCCTTTCCTCAAGAATTCGACAATTTCCCTGGCTATAAGACCGGTATACGGCATTTTACCTTAAAAAAAAGGCGGACTATATTTGTTTCCATCTCAAACATTAGGATACTCTACATAACGTTCAGAAAGCACTAATAACAAAGATAACCCAGTAGTTGTTCAGTTCAAGTTACAACTATACCTCTAGATTCGATCTCCCACAATAAAACTCCAAACGACCACCTGTCAGCAAAAAAAAAAAACAAGAAATTTTTCATCATCTTCATTTGATTTCTCAGTAGAAATTTCAAAATGAAAAGAGATGAGAACTCCGAAAATTAATCTTCAACTTGGTCATTACAGTTTCTCAAGGCAATGGAAACAATTAGATACGTTTCCAGCGGTTTTTTTTTTAGTTTTGACTTTTTTTTCCAGGAAGCGTGGAATTAGGTTACCACAGTTCCCTGCAGTTTTCTAAAGCTTATCACATATTCAAAAGAGGAACTCGGTTGTAATGGTCAATTAGGAATGTAAAAACAGGCCATAGAATGCAGTACAGGATATCCGTGTTCCACTCTCTCGAAATTAGACATGCTGATCGCTAATTGCTACGAGAACTTTGAGCTCGGTATATCCGCCCAAATTATTATGTAAAACGACCAATTGGCAGAGAATGTATTGGAATTTTCAGATCACTCAGGAAGATCCCAATAAAATGAGTAACGATCACCAGCGATCAACAAGGTAGCATATGAAGGTGATGCTACTGAAAACAATTATGATAAACAAGAAATTGAATCAACTACGCGCGCATTTCGAGAGTAAGGGTCTTTCATGATGGTTTGAAAGCTTTTCAGATTTAACTTGCCTTCGGTTCACGCAATGCAATAAATTTAAAAATATAACTTGCGCAAATTGATGACGAAATGCACTAGCGTTCACGCAATTTCTTTTATTTATAACGTACACGTCTGTCTTTGTATTGTACACTAAATCCTCCAGAGACTCAAGAGCCATCCAACGAACTGGTAACATTCCCTGTTGGACAGAAGAACTGGCATGTTTAGAATGATCACAGTACACGTTAGGAAAACTTAACTGGCGCTTCAATTGATACTACTACACCACAAACACTTATAGTTGCATAGTTGTAGATTTTGACGACACTGACCGAAAACAATGATAAGTTTGTGTGGAGGAGGGAAGGGAAACATCTCAAATCAATAAAGTGTGACTTCTTTGAAGTTGCATAACCCCTCCCTCCCAGTCATTCTAACAAATAAAGGGAATAGCCATACCCGGCAAAGAGTTTCGTATTCACCACTCTCGTACACATCACGTGACATGCCGAAATCAGAAACCATGGCGACATTCCTGTCGCCAAGAAGCACGTTTCTTGCCGCGAGGTCTCGATGAACACACTGCGAGATAAATTCAGAATGATAATGTAATGATATTAATGATAAGTAGGTAGGCCTGTCGATTGAAAGTGAAGGTATTCTTTGTTTCATTTTTTAACCACCTTTTTGCTGGCGAGGTGAGACATTCCACAGGCCACGTCTCTTGCAATCCTCACTTTGTCGACGCGTGTGAAACCGACTTGTCTTTCCGTATCATCTTCGTATGGATTTTCTCTGTTCTTCAGTTGGTTCAACAAGCAGCCATTTGGAGCCAGACGAACAATCACTAAAATTGACCCTAGGTATTCCATCAAAGGTAGCTCGTTAGAGAGGCAAAACTTTAAGGGAAGTGAGTTACTTAAAACATACTGATGGGTAGACAGGCGAAAGGACGAGGGGACTGTTCATGTTAAGGATTATAAAATCATGACAGTTACATATCGTATTCAATAATTACCAGACTTTGTGCAAGCTCCAATAAGGCTTACGACATTGGGATGATCACCAACTGTGACCATGATTTGAAGCTCGTTTATTAAGTCTTTCCTTTCCCTTTCTCTGGCATTCTCTGCAATAGAATGTTCCAAAAGGGTGCAAATCCCATAAATAAACATGTCTTCAAACACGTTAATTAATCAATCCATAAACGTATCAGTAAGTCGGTGGGGAAATCAGCCAATAAGTAACTCAACCAGTTAGTCAGAAAATTAACTGATCAATTTTTAGAACAATCAGTTAGAACACTGATACTTTTTACCTTTAACAGTCTTTATTGCGCATGCCCTGACTTGTCCGCCCATGCGCACCACTCCTTTGTACACTTCTCCGAAGGCACCTTCCCCCAACTTCTCTTGTAGTGTAACATTTGTTCTGGGAATCTCAACCCAGTGGCAAAGAGTGGAAAGCGGTGTCTGATTCTGGAGGGAAAAAAAGAATCGTATAAAATTAACCATATATTTTCATGAACTTCACTGACTAAAAAATAAAAGTACAAATTTAGGCTGATTACCTCAGAATACACTTTGCCACGCTTTGAATTTCTAATAGGTCCATACTTGATGCAAACGACCACAACAAATAAAGATGCTAAGCTCAGTGGCAATACTATTTGCAGCATCAATTTCCTAATAAATCTGTCTGGAAAAATGGAAAAATGAACCAAAAGAAATTAACAGAGTGCTCTCAGAATAATTTAACGCAATATGGAGCTAACTGTTAACATTTTATCGGAAGTTTGGTTTTGATAACGAGGAGCCTAATGAGAATAAATGACTATGTTGAAGTTTTGACAAAATTCACGGTGGTCAATTCCGAGTAGAAGTTTAAAGCACCCAACAAGTTTTTTGGATTCTCGGAAGTTGAACCATCTACATGTATCATCAGTTCAACCTCAGCGAAATCTAAGATATATCTCAGACATAATTCGGTCAAGAATGTTTGCGATGCTTCAGTAAACAGAAACAACCACTAGCGAATGACTTTTTTTATGGGAGAAAGAGACTGCTGTCAGATGAAATTTTGCAAGGGGGAATTACGCAAACATGTTTCAGTTTTTTGTTTCACTTTTTTTTTAAAGTTTTTTTTTAAGTTTGTAATAAAAGGCTCTACTCTTGTATTTACGAAAAGAGCGCGAAAAAAGCCACTAATTCACAAGAGTGTAACTTGTTTAAAGGAGGACCCTACATGAGATATTTTAATACTTGCCAGGTAGTGTCCTCTGTGTTACTAATACACCCTCTGACCTTCCATACATATTGTTGCTTGATAATCTGATGGTGTATTCTGTGGAGGGATCTAAGTTCTCCAAAATCATTTGGGTATCAGGGTACGGAACTGTCTTCACTAATATAAAGTTTTCCGATCTTGATGTCCTCCTTTCTACAGTGTAGTTTTGTATTTGGTAAAGGCTGGCATTTTCTGGCTCATTCCAAGTCAAAATAAAATATCTTGTCTGAACATTCTCTACTGTGAAGCGTCTCGGAGGTGGCGGTAATTCTAGTGCACGGAGAGGCCAACAACAAATGCATTTAAAATTCTAATTAATATCGAGACAGTGTAATCGAGATAGTTGTCGCGATTAACAACAGTCATTATGACCCAAACCTTTTTCCGCGTCTTATTTTGAAATTTACAGCCACGTGAGTTCTCCTCATAAAAAACCCGCTTATTATCTAATACATATTACTTTTTGATGAACTTATATTTGGATGTACATTTCAATCTCTCTAATTATTTCTCTTTCTCAGTGGTTGACTTTACCTCTTGGAGGACAACGAGATACGTTGCAATATTCCCATCGGACGTTTGGGTCTGTGGTATAACACCACGGTCCATCTGGGGCACTGCTATCCGGGTTACGACACAGGTTCGAGTCATTTTTGGATTTGGCGACGTCTTTAGGGATCCGCCAGTGACGATGAGGACACTGGGATTTCCAAGACTGACATGTACGACCAGATCGGGTGACGTTCACATTTCCACGGTAACCAACACCCACTCCATAGTAACAATCTGAGAGAAACTGGATATTTGAGTTTATGGCAGTGCAAACGTGGAGTATCCGTGCACTGAACATTAATGTACCCTTTCAAATCGCTTTGAAGCTATAGATCGGAGGGCGAGAGTGTGCAAAAGTCATCCAGTTTGCAACAGTGATGCATTAAAGAAAGCAATATATTATAATATCTTGAAGGAGCTTATTCTACAAACAATGTCATAATTTCGCGCTTTTAACTTAGACCACTGAGAATGTTCTCAGGTAATACCGTCCTCAAAGGCTTTGAAGAGCGAATGACTGGGGACTTTTTCTGCGTGAAGTGGTTCTCAATTACTTAAGTTAATAGGGGTTTGACAGTATCAGATAAGTTACTTAAATACAGATCAAAACTCAGAACATCAAAAGCAGACCTGTGGTTTTTGTGTCATCACCTATGGGAAGAGAAAAAATATTGGAATGCGTGTCAAGAAATGATAACAAAGTATTAAAAAAAAATTGTAAATCTTGGGTGCATACTAAAATTTGAAGGATTCTATCGTCATTCTAGGTGTCGAAGTGTTGCACTGAATGTTCCCACTGACCAAGAGTCGCGCCGCTTGTGCAATAATAAAGTCTACTATTGTATAACGGGAGCTCTAGCTTTCTTCTGAGTTCTCTTGCCAGTTATCTTCACCTCATCACCCCTTCTGTCATAAGGGCAATGTAAAATATTCGAATATTTTGTTAGGATCATAAACAAGTTCGCCAAGTTTAATTTGAGAATGACGCCATGCCTTGTCCATGACGCTGCTTACAAAGTAGCATCATTCTCTGGGATTGTGCACCGACTTCCTGAACAGTGGAGCTTAACTTTGGAACAGAACTAGAAGGCCTGAGATACTAGTTCTGACAAGCTCTGATCCCCACACACCTGCTATGTGAACTGGTTAACAAAGTATACAGATAAACTTTTTTTCTCGTTGGTTTCATGTTTCTCTGTTTGTCAAAGTCAACGATTTGTTTTTAGTCCCAGGTAAATTGATAACACAGAAAGGATTGATGATGACCGTGAGTAATATACGCACCAGGGATATCTGGCCACCCATAGCACTCAGGAGCATCTCCACCATTAGCCGGCTTATATAGTGAGCAATTTATCAATTTCTGGTCGAACACTGGAGCCTCCTTTGATGCTCCAATGAGAAACTTCATCTCTGACTTACAAACATCTTGCATCAAATACAAGCATGAGCTGCGACATAGCCCGCGATCTTTAGGCTCGTCCAATGTTTCATCACACGCCGGAAAGTGATAGCGACAGTGCAAATTTCTCATTACAGGTCTACACTTCGGAGAGATATCAAACAATTTGAAGTAGCCACCAAAGGTGTTTGTTTCCTTTTCACCATAATCCAATGTACTTTGGTTACCATAAACATACAGACTTGTGATTATGTCCTTGCAAAATGTGTCTTTATACTCATAAAATATACAAGAAGCGTTTCTTGCAGATGGTTCGACTGGAGGAAATGCTGGAACGCAGCTAAAGATATACAAACCAATTAGAATTAAATAATGAATGATGGAAGACATCAGGACGAACAAATTAATAACTAACAAAAGGGAGATGATGAATTGCAGCTTGAATTACTATAAAATTAGCTTGGAAAGGGAAGAGGCCGTAACGTTTTTGTCAAATTTTCATTGTACTTACCTCGAATTAGTGTCCACTTGAGTAAAATTACTCTCTGTTTATCAGTGGAAGGAAAATAAGGATAAATAATGATATTGATTTTAAAAAAAATTGGAAATCTTTGATAACATTTCATCTAGTTTTTAAATTTTACATCGAAATGATGATGTCGTACTAGGGTTTCTGTAAATGCAGAGAATTTACATAATTTCTTGGTGCAAGAATCATAAATGAAGTTGCTGGACTGTATTTCATCATCATTTCTCACCTTGGAAATCTTCACATATAAAGGCGTGCTCCTCACTACAGTTAGTGCACTCCAGGAGAGTATCATGGGTTACCATACAGCATAACTTCCTAGGTTCCTTAGACTGTGCTTCTGTACGATTAAAATTGTTCACAACGTCTATAAGTTGTATACCAGCCGTATTGTTATCACTCCATTTCCAATCGCCAATCCTGTAGCGGACATGTCCAACGTGCCCAGAAAAGAAAAAGCATTAAAATGTGCAAACGTAAAGATAGAGTAATCAAGAGGTCCCTTATCATATGTCTACTAAAACAGTGGATAGCGTTGAAGACGTGCCATAATTGGCTTCTCAAACTCTAAATATCCTTTGCTATGCTCCTCGGGGCAACTTGCGCGGGATTTGCGCCCGAAAACATTGTCATCGTTGCAGGAACAAATGAGCTAAAGATTATCTTCTTTTTACAGATCATCTCAATGTTTTAGTATATTCTGGAGAAAAAAAAGACAACCACCTCCACATCTGTCAGTGAATGGTTGTTAATTAGTAATACTAATGGCATCAAACTACGACACACATTATTTGTCAAAAATGATGAACAGCGGAATAAACTTAAGTACGCAATAAATAATTGTTACTCACCAGACATGGAGACTCGTCCAATATTTCATGCCGTTAGTGGTATTTGATATATTCTTAGCCAACTGGAGGTCGTCAGCGTTTCTAATTTTTGCGAGATGGTCACTTTGGTTTTTTGTTTTACATGCTTTGTCTGCGTCTGTGTAATTCCGTTTTTGGTGGTGAACTCTGAATGTTTTTACGCCAGAAGCGCCTGCAGGTCACAAAAGTGAACAAAACAGTAATTTAATATTAAAATTCCATTTTTTTCTTATCGCGATGATAAATGCTTAAACTAGATTAAAATTATTTAATTAATCTTCTTCTTGTTACGACGAGCAGTAAGCTCCCACGGGAAATCTCAATAATTCAGTAGGCGGCCAAGCCAGACGAGACAAAAGAAAATCTTATCGTGAACAGCTCTGTGAAAGCCTAAACGATCATATTTCTTTATCCAAATGATCGTCGCTTATGTCATAGAGATTCCGTCACTCACTTTATGGAACGTGAAAAGATCTCTGTGAAGGACACGATTGGCAATTAAAACGTTTTTTTTATAAAGGTCATCTCCTATCATCAGCATAGGATAGAATATGGACTGGACTGTTGGACCCTTGGACGATTGGACTATTTTTTTTTTGGGACTATTTTTTGGACAATTTTTGGACCATTTTATCGGGGGGGGGGAGGTAGACCATAAGTACTTAAGGAGGGGTGGGATGCAGTTTATCAGTACTCAGGAAGGGGTGGGAGGCAGACTGTTGTTACATGAGGGGGGTGGAAGACGTTGTATTTGAAAATGCTACTGATTAATGGAGGTTTAAATGGATCATACAAATTATTTTGAGCATACAAATTATTTTGAGCATACAAATTATTTTGAGCATACAAATTATTTTGAGCATACAAATTATTTTCTTTCATCCTCTTCCCCAATAAAATGGTCCAAAAAATGGTCTAAAAAAATTAATCCAAAAAAGATCCAAAAAATGGTCCAAATAATGGTCCAAAAATTATCTAAAAAATAGTCCAAAAAATAGTCCAGTAATCCAGGGGTCCAATGGTCCAGTCTATATTTTACCCTATGCTCCTATTACCATGTATCGTCTGTTTGTGTATCATGGTTAAGAAAAATAAAAATCCCTCTTTCCACCGACCCCAATGAGCCATCATAGTGTTGAAGATGGTAAGAACAACAATGGCACGAACTTGAGCCATTTCTATGCTGTAAGGCTGGTTACCAGTACAAGCATTTCAATCTAATGTGACATGAAAAGATAAAGAAGTAATTAATTCGAGGTCACGAAATGATGATCAAATGAAATTTTTTCAGTAACGAAACTACACAAGAGCTACTGAGTCCTCCAACTCAACTAAAAGATCAGTGTATTACCGACCTGCGGAAAGTCTGGTAGCAATATGACGTGAATAAATCAGTATTGACAGATCAGTCGATACTACATTATCTTTGACTATTTTATTTGATAATTAATAAAACATTTTGAGAGTTAAATCCGATTCCTTCTTTTAAATGAGATCAAATTTTTCATAATTAACTCTTCTATAAAAGAATGATAGTTTAGAAGTAATGTTATTCCATGGGTATCCCAATAACAAGTAGAATAAGTAATTAATTTTTACGACCTCTGATCCTTAGAGGCTGCTTGAACGATGTAATCGTCAGTAAACAATGGTCGCAGCACGTATGATGCCAATTTGCTTGAGGGCAAACCTACATACTCCCACGCTGCGTTGTCTGAATAGACTCGTTACCTTGTAGTATAAGATCAGTTCGTCCCTTCTCCCACCCGCTTTGGTGGAGATAGGTTTCTAGATTTTGTGGAATTAAATGAGCGTTAAATACATTTAACGCCATAAACCGATCCAAGTTAGTTTTGCTTAGAAAGTTGTTCTTCATGGCCGTTTCTTAATCTTAATAAATAAACTGATCGCCCCAAAATACTGCTCTCTTAATAACTAGTGGTTCTGCAGCTTACACACTCTATCTAGACATTGTTTTCCACCGTAAATAACTAAAAACAGGAAAAACAATGAAATGCCAAAGCTCTAAGGAATATGTGGGATATTGATCAAATGAAGCCTTTAAGTGCTACTGTGGTTCTTTCTTTCTTTATTCACTCCGAGCTTTCGCCGTTCTACGGCATCATCAGGGAGGACGATAAAATATTTGCGCTATGGTTTTAAACGTTGGAGGTGCCACTGTAAATTAGCATAGTGTAAAACTAGCGAGTAGGACGCATGAAAACTAATGGCGTGATAAAATGTTCTAAAATATGTGTTAAAAACAGTTAATTAAAATAGCTCAATAAAATAAGTCATTAAAATATTTAAAATAGAAGATCGTTAAGTTCAGTGCATTCCTCACGGGAGTTCAGTCCCGGCTTGTGCTTTCTGATGTAATACGCTTCGTACAATCGCAGATTGACGGGGTCATTTTCACGCGTGATTACTTTGACTTCAATGTTATGGCTGTTGTTGCGATGGTGTGTTGTGAGATGTTTTTTTACCGACGAGTTGTCGTTGGTCAAGTGTTCTTTTGTTCGATCATGTAGGAATCGTGTCGTGCTTCCGATGTAATACTAAGGAATATACTAAGGAATATCTAAGGAATATGTTTGGTATTTAACACGCGGTGACGTGACGTTTAACCTGAGTACACTAAATGTAAATGTTTATCGTCCAAATGCACCAAGTTTCTAAATTGCACTGAGTTTCTAAAACAAAATGGTTTAAAATTCCCTTTTCTCTCCAATAAAAAAGTTTAGAAGCAAGTACATTCACCCAGGGCACACAGGGAAGCGGCAATGAGCTTATATGAACCACTTACCAACTTACCAACCTAGTGAATACCTTTTTGCTGACTGCTATATTCCTTCACAAGGCTGACCTCTACGACGCACAACTCACTGAAACTTTACTTTGATTTTCAGCTCGAAAGTTTGAGTTTCGAATGAACAGCCGCGCGAATGACACCGACTTCCTGTCACGACATGTTTCCGTTCTAAAACAACACAAGTTAATAACCTTAATAGGGGAGGTCTTGGCAGAGGCGGAAATTGCGAAAACTTATTGTCTCCATTCCCTTCTCGTTAATGCCTGTCCTCAGTGTGACATACGTATGCCACAACAATGCAAAATAATAGTTGTTGTGCTCCGATGATTTCCAATTTTCCAAAAAAATTTTTGCATTCGTTTCTGGATCTTTTTTCGATATGAACTTTCCTGAGTACTGCTATTCGCTTAGCTACAGCCAAGAGTGAGCCAGACTAGTAAAGAAAAGAACACCGGCGCCTAGAGCTACCACATTAACATGATTTCCAAAACGTCCCGATGATAGGCAAATTATACACTGGAACATCGATCAGTCGAATTAAGTTGCTTCGTTTTTGTGTCATGGGCGAATATTTTTTCAACGAGGTGTGTTAGAAATGATCCTTAACTGTAGGTGGTCTATTGGGTTGAAGTGTTTCGGATTCAACGGATATGTACGACAGTGCAGTAGAATGAATAAATCAGAAATTACAAATACGCCTCGAGTGGAAATAAATGGTAGACTTTATAGTGTTGACTGAACCGCAATATTAGCATACCAATTCAATGCACATGATTGCTTGAATTGTGTGTTATATTGTTCGATTGAAAAAGGACCTTAATGGAGAGTTGTTCCTGCTTGTTGCAAAATCCGCGCTGAAAATCAACCGCGTGACGTTCACATTTATTTCTTTGAATCGTTTTGGGAGCACGCATCGAAGATATCAGAAGTTAATAAATTTGCTATTTGGCGTCCGAGATATTTTCTGCTCCACCAACCCTGATTGTGACACAAGTGATCAAGTGACATCGTTTTGCGATCATTTTGTTTCACACAAGTGATCAAGTGACATCGTTTAGTAATCATTTGACTTACACTGTCTGTAACAAAAGGGAATACAAGGGAAAAGATGCGGCTAATCCATAATAATGATAATGATGATCAAAATAAAAATAATAACTTCCCTTCCGTACAAAGATACTGCAATATTACGGTTGTAAAAGTCAATGTATCGGCTCAAAAACTGTTTCTTACGAGTCAATGCTTCCTTTCAACTGATGAAGTTAAACAAGGAAACTGACGCAGCAGTATATACGGCAAATGTGCAAATGTTATGAAATAACAAAGATGAAACTGGATATTAAATGTTTCTATATAATATCTCTGCACTGAATTACTGACTAATCAATACGTTTAGATGCAAGTTTTCTAAAGACAAAAAAGGTGAGGTCGGGACATTTAAAGGTTTGTTCGATCTCCGAAGCTAGGCAGCAATCTCTTGGCTGCCAAAATTACTGAAAACCATCTGAGAAGCTCTCTGTTGTAGCACAGATTTTTTTACTGATATTTTATTGTAATCTACTAACTACATGAGAAATCTCCCTCAAAACTCTCGGGACATTTTCTATTATCAAAAAATTACATCACCAAAAGGTAGGGGCAGATATAGTGATAACTATTATTGGTGTAAGTTATCAGTTTAAGTGAAAATAAATTTGCACTTTTCCTCATGGTGTATGTAATATAAGACAGAATTTTTTTTTTTAATGCAAGGTTATGGTTTTTAAGTAGTACATACATTGATGTAACAGTGTGAGGGATTTATTGTTAATTCCTAATTATTAACTTTTCCCTCTCCCTCGACAAGGGAACGTAACAACAGTGACTTCATTACACTGCATGGCCGTGTTTTTATCTGAAGTACCACCCTGCTTCATTAACTAGGAGGCTCTTATCTTTCAGCAGATCCTAGAAGGGAAAAACATTAAACAGACATTATTGAGCATACGTTTTGATAGCGGTGAAGAGCAACTCCCCCATCCATTTCCTTGTACTAATTCGCGCATGATCATCAACAGAACCAGTCATGATAATTATTTCCTTACGTCTTTTGTTTTAGTAAGTTCTTTCTCTAGTGACGCCAAAAGATCTACAAATGATGGACGTTTCATCGGATCCAGATCCCAGCAGGACTTCATTATCTCGTAACTGTTAGAGGAAAAGATTAAGTTTAGTCAGCCAGCCCACGATCAAATGCGAGCCATTATATATAAGAGCTGATTTTCATTCTTTGAAAGATTATTTACATTTCATTCGGGCATCCATCCGGTTTCGCTAAAATTTGTCCTGACTGTAGATATTCGATGATTTCCATTGCTCCTCCAAGTTCGCAATATGGCATTATACCTTGACAAGGAATGATAAGAAAAAAAAAACGTACTAGTGAGGGCACAATGAACTTAGTCCAGTTTATAGAGTGGGACACTTAAATAACACTTGGGGAAGTAATAATGATGCACTGACTATCAAATATAAGTTAAAGCGTTCACCTTCTGACTCGATCTCCCATAGAAGCACTCCAAACGACCACCTATCAAAAATATCATGCGCAATGATGTTTTTTTCCACTTGATTTCCAAATTTTAAAATATAATAAGACGATAACTCCTTCAAAAATTTCTCAATTTTTATTCGTAGCAGTCTCTAAGGGCAATAACGACAAATACGTTTTCAGCAAAACCCAGTTTTCTTTCCATTTCCCGCAGTTTTTCATCTCCTCGACAAATCATCTCGTTCCTACTTGGTTAAAGGATGCACAATTGTTTCGAATATGATCGGCCGAATTTTTCGGCGCATTACGTTTAGTTCAAACAATAATCTTTTGGAGGACATGGGTAGAGATGACGGTAAAATCAACAACATTTAGGGTTTTTTGTGGTATAAATATATTCCATGTTGATGTTGTTCGGTTTATTTATGAGTCACAGGAACCATCAAAACGTGATAAGAACTTCGTGTGTCACTTTTTGTTCTCACCACATTTTGACGTCATCTGTGATTACTAAACAGACCAACCGCAACATTGAACCTATTTGCTAGACAGAATGCAACACGGGATTTCTGTATTGCACCAGCTCGAAACTTAAGCATCTAAAGACAAATAAGACATGTCAATTTATGAAAACAACGAAATGGACAATAAAATGGACTCGCTCTAGTAAGATTTCTCAAATTATGCCTTACACGTCTGTCTTCGTGTTGAATGTGAAGAAGTCCAAAGACTCAAGGGCCATCCAACGAACTGGTAACATTCCCTGGTTTGTGGGAGAAATTGGAAAGTTTTACTTTCCGTACGATGATCCAGTATTCCAATGGATACAAGTAAACAACGATCTTTTATCATTTCAGTGTGTGGATACTTTGACCAGTAACAACGAATATAGTGTTGTTGAAAGGGGGCGGGGGGGGGGAGGAAATAAAATGATTTCACACTGCTTAAGTTTCTATGTTAATTATGATAGGACAAACTGCCAAAGGTAACTTGAATGAATAAATTTCTAAGCTAATATTCATTAATGCATTAATAGGAAATACAAGGGGGACGCTTTGAAATGCAGAGCAATCTTTGTTGAAAAGCCATAACTCTTAGAAGTTCTACCATACCCCTCGCCTTTCCCTAAACTTTGAGCAAACTAGTCATACCCTGGATAAAGTCTCGTATTCGCCACTTTCGTAAACATCACGTGACAAGCCGAAGTCGGAAACCATCGCAACATTCCTGTCTCCAAGAAGCACGTTTCTTGCAGCAAGGTCACGATGAACACACTACCAAAGAAAACCAAATAGAAATAACTAATTATAGGTTCCTTAGGGTTAAATAGAGCTTTTCAGTATCATCACTACCTTTTTACTTGCGAGGTGAGACATTCCACAGGCGACGTCTCTTGCAATCTTCAATTTGTCGACGCGTGTGAATCCGACAGATGTTATAGAATCATTGTAGTATGGATTTTCTCTGTTCTTCTTCAGTTCGTTTAGCAAACAGCCATTTGGAGCCAAACTAACAATCACCAAAATTGATTCTAGGTATTTAATCAAAAGTAACATGTTAGAGGAATACAAAAACTCGAGAAAAGAGAGTTAATTAATAAGATATTTGTTCTGTTGAACAAAACTGAAAGTATGCTTTTAGGAAGACAAAAGGAAGGCCAAAAGTCTTTAAAAAGTTTTTCAGTAAATCTAGAAGATTATACAACTACAGTAACCACAGTAACAAATTTTTCTCTAGAATAATTACCAGACTTGGTACACGCTCCAATAAGACTTATGATATTAGGATGTTCACCAATTGTGACCAGGATTTGAAGCTCGTTGAGCAAGTCTTCCTTCTCTTTTTCTGTAGTATTGGCTGAAATGGAAAGTCCTCTTATTAATTATATTAACACCCTTGCGTTATTAATATTAATCAATCGATCAGTGTAGTGGGTCAGTCGATCAGTAAAACAGTCGCTTCGTCAGTCATTCAATGAGACGGTCAGTCAATCAATCAATCAATCAATCAATCAATCAGACTATCAGTAAATCGATCCGTCAGACAAACGAACAACGATCGAATAAACCAAATGAGCCGATAAACCTGTTGACCCATTTCCTATCAATATTTTAGAATACTATTAAAATCCCTACCTTTAAGCTTCTTGATTGCACATGCCCTAGCATTTCCCTTTATGCACACCACGCCTTTAAACACTTCTCCGAACGCACCTTCCCCCAGCTTATGTTGAAGGATAACATCTGATCTGCGAATCTCCTCCCAGTTGCGACGAATGGAAATTTCTGTCTGCGGGAAAAGAGGAAAATCAGCTTCGTCCACTCAATCCTTTTTAAATATTTAAACGCACTTACCTCATCATAAACTTTATTTGGCCTGGAATTGCAATTTGATCCAAACTTGACACAAACAATCACGATGAATATAAATGCTAAGCCCAGCGGCAAAACTATGATCAGCATTAAATTCACAATAAACCTGTCTGGAAAAAAGACAACGAACGCATTAGTTTAGAAGTGGCTACGAGAGCCTAACTTTGGAAGAACTCTTTAGAACAGGAAGAGGACTGAATTATTCTTTGCAAGAAGACGCTTGCACAAATGTATTTGATTTTTAACGAGATTAAGAAAACTCAGATTGAAAGACAAATGTTTAACAGCTCTGAGACGTAAGATAAATCTGCAGATAGTTTGTATTTCACATCAGGTTTAGGATGATTACCTGGCAGTGTGTTCTGTGTTAAAAATACACCATCTGACCTTCCATACATATTGTTGCTTGATAATCTAAGAGTGTATTCGGTAGAGGGTTCCAAGTCCTTCATGATCATTTTGGACTCAGGGTAAGGAACTGTCTTCGTAATGTTCTTCGATCTTGATGTCCATCGCTCTATGGTGTAGCTTTGTATTTGGTGAAGGCTGGCATTTACTGGCTCATCCCAAGTCAATATCAAATATCTTGTCTGCACATTCTCTACTATGAAGTCTATTGGCGGCGGCGGTTTTCCTAAACGGAATGAAAAACATCAACAAAAGCTCTGAAAATCCTGGTGCTTGAACATATAACCAATATTTTAAATTTTTTTTTCTTCTTTATTAAGTATTTTAGGTGACTTAATTGTCAAGATATGCTATGCATGGTATTTCATATGCGTGATATTTTGCGCAGATAGAAAGTGACCATGATTGATTATGTCTGTCAATATCTTTCTACTTTTTTTTCTTTTGCTAGTATAGGTCAGAAGGAGCAAACGTTTAATAATCTATAAATCTATTGCAGTTATCTCTCAAGTGATCTCTTCCACCTCCCCCACATCAGTGACTAACCTTTACTTCCTGGAGGACAACGAGATACGTTGCAATATTCCCATCGGACGTTTGGGTCTGTGGTATAACACCACGGTCCATCTAGGGCACTGCTATCCGGATTACGACACAGGTTCGAGTCATTTTTGGATTCAGCGACATCTTCAGGGACCCGCCAGTGACGATGAGGACACTGGGATTTCCAAGACTGACATGTACGACCAGACCGGGTGACGTTCACATTACCTCGGTAACCAAGACCGACTCCAAAGTAACAATCTTGGATGAATAAAACGCATTTATGACGTCAACTGAGGTACTGCACAAATAAAATAGTTAAAACTGGGAGACAAATTAATGTTTGAAGTCGTTTTGTAGTTGTGGAACGGAGGCCAGGACACTAAATTAGTGCCTCGGTTCCACGGTTCGGTTCTGCGACGGGAATTCTCTGTAATCGAATTACATTTAAGAACAGTACATAAATGACTGACCTATGCTGTTTGTGTTGTCACCTGCAAAAGAATGAAAAGACAGATTGCGGCATAGGTTAGGAAAGGACAAGCGAAATTATCAAACTCTGTGGTTTGCGTAGCTACTCAAGCTTGCAATAATTGTAACATTGGGTGAAAAGATTAGACTAACAGCTTCAGGTGTTTTACTTTTGCATAGCTATAGAGTGTTCGCACTCGTAATTCTAAAGGGATTATAAAGTGTTTAAAAGTATAGTGGGAGCTTTAAGCCTTCTTCTCATTTCATTTGCCTGGAACCATCTATCTATCAAAAGGGTAAAAAAATTTTTGTATGATTTTAAAAATAATAAATAAAATCGCTTCGGGGTTCTATTCTGTTCTGGTTATAAAGAAAAAAAGGCACCCATTAACAAGAGTGAAGTATGACAATTATTCGTCTTAGGCTCTGTGAATTTTGCTGAATACTTCCCCGAGACGAAGTCGAGGGAATTATTCAATAATATTCATGGAGCCTAAGGCGAATAATTAGTTTTAATGAAAATTTCTCAGGTGTTTTCGAATTCTGTTGTAAATATGACACATGACACACTACTCAACCAATCAGAGCGCGCGCATTGCAACAATAATACCTAAGAATATTAACTGTCAATGGGGGGGAGAGTCATAAAAATTTTACAGAGCTTTATGGGAGGATCAGAAAAATTTTATGGTTAAACAACCAAAATCCTAATTCCCATCACCAGGCCAAGTCCCTGCGATAAAGGATTTTTAGTAGTTGTGTAACACTCACCAGGGATATCTGGCCACTCATAGCACTCAGGAGCATCTCCACCATTAGCAGGTTGGTAGAACGAGCAATTAATCATCTTTGAGTCGATGTGTGGGGACGAAACCACTGCTATTTTGAGAACATCCGCCTCTTTTTTGCAAACATCGTCCATCAAATAATCGCATGAGCTGCGACAAATCCTGCGATCTGTAGGCTCGCCCAAGGATTCGTCGCAAGGCCGGAAGTAATAGCGGCAGTATAAATCTTTGATTATAGGTTGACATTTTTCTGAGATGTCAAACCATTCGAAATAAGCATTAAATGACTCAGTTTCCACTTCTCCAAGATCCAGTGTCGTTTGGTTACCATAAACGTACAAACTTTTGATTATATCCTTGCAAAATTCGCCTTTATACTCATAGAATATACAGGAAGCGTTTCTTGCGGATGCAGTAACTGGAGGAAATACTGGAATGCAGCTAAGGATTAAAAAACACAACAAAAGGAATAAAATGATTAAGCTGAAAAAAAATGTGCAAAGGGGCTTTGGCACATCAGTGAACTGTTAAGCATACCAACCTTGCATTAGAATCCACTTGAGTGAAGTTATTTTCTGTTTATCGGTAAGAGAAAATAATGTCAATTATTATTGAAATAATAATGATAATACTTAAAGTAACATTTTCAATAACTTGATTCACTAGAAATGAGGAGGAAGATCTCATTTGATAGCGCAATTAATTTTTTTTTATTTAATCCTTGTAAGTGGTTGTGCCGCCGAAAATTTTCTGCCGATGCAAAAAAAGCCAGAAGTATTGTTTTTTCAGTAAATTTGCTAAGCTGTGTTAAACACACGTCTCACCTTGGAAGTCTTCACATAGAGAGGCGTGCTGCTCGCTACAGTTGGTACACTCCAGGAAAGGATCATGGGTTACTACACAACAGAACATCTTAGGTTCTATAGACAAAGCTTCTGTGTCATTATAATTTTTCACAATATCGGTAAGTTTTCCAGAAGCAGCCTTTCCATCACTCCATTTCCAAGTACCATTCCTGCAACAAACGTATCCATAACCAATTTAGAAACGCTGACAAAAGAAGAGAAAAAATGCAAAAAATTGAAAGGTTATCATGTTATTACCAACTACCTCATGCATAGTTTGAGGTGGTTGGACTAAACAATTTAAAAGTCGCGTAAGTACGCCATGACAATTTCCACTCACCAGATGTTGAGACCCATCCAGTACTTTACACCGTTAGTATTATTTGATACATTTTTAGCCAACTGAAGTTCTTCGATAGTTTGAATTTTTGCAAGATGACTTCTAAAATCTTTTGATCTGCATTCTTTATCTGCCTCTGTGTAGTTGACTTTTCCATGGTTGGTTCGAAGAGTTTTCGCATCAGAAAAATCTGATCGAGAGAAAATCAAACTTTTAAAAATTTAGTAATTTCAACAGACTCGCCTTCAAGTCAATTTTCAAACTAGTAGGTGAAAATAATTGTAAACCTTACACAAAACGTCAAATGGTTGACTTTTTTATTCTGTGTTTCGGAATCAACTCTACATATGATACATATTGATGTAGTAGTTCCATGGATCTTCAGCTGACAAGGATTCTGTCTCAAACTTAAGCTTTGTAGAAATCCGTTTCCCATGAATAGCTTTTGATTATTATCTTTCCTCCGCAAGAGTAAAATGTTATTATAATGTATTCTCATTCGGCTGTGAGTATAGCATCTGAAACAAAACTAAAGTAACTTTTTTCTACCAACCGGAACGAGCCAAGATGATGCTCAAGAAGGTGAGAACAACAATGACGCGGCCTTGAGTCATTTCTATGCTGTTAGGATGGTGATCAGTGCATGAACAACAATCTAGTGTAAAGATGTAAAGATAAATACGAAAATAGTTCGTTTAACAGTTAATAACTTTGATGCAGAACGAATGATTTATTTAAAATCGATAAACAAAATAAAGGATCGCTATTAATTATATCAGCTCTATTCAATAATGTGAGTAAACTTGATCTGCAGAAAGACATGTATACATCAATTAGAATCGAGCGATCACATAACGCCAAATTGTATTTTAATATCCTAAATTAAATTCGGTTATTAAATCGATATCATCGGCATAAACATGTTTCGAACAACTCCAACTTTTCCTCTCCAGTTAACGAGTATTTCGAGATTTTCTTTTTTTCCGGGCATCCACATCCTAATAAAAACCAGGATACTTATAATATCCGTAGTGGCACAATAAGGTTCACCAGCGCAGACAATTACAAATGTTGTACAGATGTCGCTTTAAATTACGTTCGCAGCGTGCGAAATGCCAATTTGATGAAGGGCAAATCTTACTATTCAAACGCTACGTTGTTTGCATGCGTAAATTCTCTGTTTGAGACTCGCTTTCTTTTGTTGTATGAGATCAGTTATTCTTCAGCTGAGTTGGACTTTTGTGAGACTGAAATGAGCTTAAAATACGGTCACCATTGTTAATAAGACCACCTCAGTAGTGCAAACATACATGTAGTTCTTCTTCAGGGCCATTCTTGGCCCCATTTATGAGACTGATCATCCTATAATACAGCTTACTAAATTAAGAGTCCACCGCTTACAAACTTTCTCAGTTAAAAACAGGATAACAATACTCTTCCAAACTCTACTCAGCCCGCCGTTACGTGACGTTTGATTTAAACTAGGACAAACACTTCGTTGTGGTTAAACTTAATGCAAATGTGTGCAAAATGCACTAAACTTTTCCACATACGGAGGGACGCTCGATAGAATTTTGGATGCAATATAATATGATTATAATATAATATAAGGCTCTGACCTTTTTGGCTCCTCTGACCAGAACTTTCCCATAAATTTCGGCACGAAAGCTTGACTTAAGAAAGACGACGTCGGATTGCCAGTCAAGCGAGTAACACTGATTTCCTGTCGTGACATGCTCCAGTTCTGGGTAGAGGCGGAAATTACATTAACCAATGGTCTTTGTGGTCTTCTCTGCTGACCTTGTCAAAAGCAAAGTGACACATTCATTAATATCTGCCCTTAATGTGACAAACACACGCAAAATAGTTAATTCAGCGGTCCCTTAAAATATTTTAATTGACTTTTCAAGAAGCAAAAAAGTCTTTGCATTCAGACCCTCTTCAAAAAAACGTTGAGGTTAAATAATGTAAATTAGTCCCGAGAAAGACAGAGAGATTAAAGTCATCAGTTTTTCTCATGAGATATTCAAATTATCCAACCGCAAAGACTAGTTATTTGATCTAGTTTGAGCTCCAATGAAAATGCGCATGCTCTGAGCATCTCAATAAGCGTTCTTATCTCTGAAGGTCAAATGTTTGTTCTCCCATTGTTCAAGTTAACCTTTTGCACTTCGCTTGACCACAAAGAATATTCATTTGATCCTGTTTGAGCTTCAATGAAACTGCGAAGGCTCAAAACATCTTGACGAATATAGAGTTAGAATGGTTATCGTTTTACGGTGAGTGAATGATGAAAAAAATATGTTATGTAGGGAGCACAATGACGTGAATTTACCTCGGAGCCTAACTAATCTCAGAGCAATCAGTGATTTAACAAAAATCGCTACTCAATTTTTTTACTTCGTTGGCACTTAGAATGTTCCTTTTCATAAAAAACAACACACAATTATCAGGGGGGTTGCTTTGGGTGTTTTCACGTCAGAGTAAAACAGATACAAGATAAGTGACATAAATTTAGTTCCGTGACGTGACGTGAAGTGACGCGACGTGACATGAGTTGAAGTGAAGTCAAATGAGATAAAACGAAACACACAACTGACCAGCGGAGTCATTTCCTCTGTTGGAATAAGGGGGGAAATTTTCTGAAGAAGCTGCGTCGGCGGGAGAGTATAGCAAGGTAGTTATAGCAGGGTAGTTGGCCACCGCTAAGAGTTTTAAAGTTTCGAGCGTTAGCCCTTTGTCAGAGCGAATTTTATTTTTTGTCCTGCTTTGCCTGGCTTTGCTGACGAGAATTGCTTAAAAGTTTTATTGAAAAAAAATATCGAGTTAAAAATAAACGGAGTCTTTCTGCTTATAACTCACACATAGACTTGAGAGTGACATCGTTATCTCGAATCTTATTAGCGATGCGAATGAAAATTTATCTCTACTAAAACAGTATTATAGGGAGATCATTTCAGTAACCTGATCGGACCAGATTTACATACGCCATTGCAGCAAACAAACGAGCAAACTCCCACAACTTTAAAGCATGCATTTGAATTTAATTACTATTACTTTCCTTGTATTTACTGACTGAGTAGAGGTATTCTTGTATATGAATCATCGATGGAAAAGAATAATGCTTTCCGTAAGATCATTGTATGTTTCTGAAGAAAACATTGCCGTGACAATCATTAAACTTGAGTTCGTTTGCCAAACTAGTACCGTTGTTTTGTTTTTTCAAAAGTGTACAAGTGTACTGCGTAATGCTTCCTTCCTACTTAAACAACAGCAAGTTGTGACATAATACATTTATGAAAACCGTAGTCAGATGTGATGTCATTGATATACTTCAAATTAAGGAATGCATGCGCAAAAGAAGCAAATGATGCAAGTAGTCAGAGTCCAGCCAATGAGTCATCTATCGGGCGGACCTGTATAGAGTTGATCTTTGGCCTAAGGATAACAACAAGAAAAAGTTATATCAAAAACAATACTAAATAAATTACAACAGTGAAATTTTGCATTAGTTATATTGTTTCACTTTATCATCTTTTCTATCCTCTTTTGTTGTTCTGTTTTTATCTTAATGCGCGATTTCATTTTTCCATTTAGAGGGGTCTTTTAAAAACACCTGAAAAAAAAATCACGCCAAGCATTTGAATCAGCAGATAACTACTTACATTCCATATTCTTTACAAAACAAATTTTATTTCTATTGTTGTCCTTGATTTATTATGAAATACAGACGACATTCATGTTCAAGTCAGGGTTAATCAACGATCATGGACAAGATAACTGGATTTTTCTTGCGTGAATGGGTAACCTAGCTAATTTTCGGCATCAGCGTCAGAAATGCAACCACGATACCAACACCAAGGACAACATAAACTCCCACCATGCTCAGCAGGCCGATACGCTTGCGAGACAAAGCTTCAACAAAATAGGGATTAAAAAGAAAGCTAAGAGTTTTTTTTTTTTTTCAATAACTGTAGTCAATGGTATATGCCATAATCAACATCGTGGGTTTGTGTGCCGGGTTTACGTTATTCTTAACTTTCTTAAAAGTTAAAAATGATATAAAGCAAGGCAAGAGGTGTTTATTTATTCCCACTGCCGCCAATAGCGCCGATGTTGTTTAGATGTGGGTCATGCATAATTCACACCCCTAAGGAAAAGGCTTATATGCCTCGTCCATCTGAGGATTCAAAAATTATTGCCTCCTGCCCGTTTCTTGTTCCTCAGGACATCCATCCGGTATCCCACCATTTTCGTTTTGAAAGTGTCCTCGATATCACCTTTTGCCAACAGGTCCGAGAATGTAATACAGAGGTTAATCCTGAAAATTTAGAAATAGGGGCCTGGAGAAATTGTGGTGAGATGCAAACCTTACTCCAAACCCACGGCAAATGGCCATGAATTATAAACGATCTGCTTAAATCAAAGGACATAAACTGAAATTCCAAAATGAGTAACAAGATGACAATATTGTCCTGTATCATTTACCAGCTGTGCGATCACATGGTGGTTCATTTGTGACATGACGGAGTCCTGGCCCATCTGCAATAAACACGAACTCTTCTCTTTCTCGTACAAGCTGAGCAGCTTCTCCAGAACTCTTTATCACGTTATCTGCCGCTTTTATTCGGTGCCAGATCGTTTGATATGTCTCGTATTGACTTCTTCTGAATGCCTTATAAGTGCTTGACGATTACATCGCCCCTACTTGATAAAAAGACCTCATGATTTCTTCGAGGTTGTTAGTAGGATTTTCTGCGTTTTTTACTGTAAGGAAGGCCGCAAGGTTAGCTGTGTATGTTGAAACAGATATCAGGATGGTTAACCGGTAGCAGCCAGCGAGAATGCGACCTGAGAGAAACCAGGTTAAAATATACTGTTTCAAGCTTTTTGACCAATCGCAGAGCTTAAATTTTTAACACACAAAGGTGACGGAACATTGCTCCTTGTGAGAATAAAGACCAATGTAAATAAGACCCAGATAAGGTCACTCAACATGGGGATGTGTTATTTCAACCTTTGGCTTTAGTGACCTTTTCATGGTTAGGGCAAGCTTCTTATGATGAACTATCTACATGTTTCATCAACTCAACCTCAGCGAAATCTAAGATATATCTCAGACATTATTCGCTCAAGAATGTTTGCGATGCTTCAGTAAACAGAGACAACCACTAGCGAATGACTTTTTTATGGACTTACACAAACGTGTTAATTTTTTTGTTTTACTTTTTTTTTAAAGTTTTCTTAAGTTTCTAATAAGAGGCTCTACTCTTGTATTTACGAGAAGAGCGCGAAAAAAGCCGCTAATTCACAAGAGTGTACATAGTTTAAAGGAGGACCCTACATGTGATAGTTTTAGTACTTACCAGGCAGCGTCCTCTTTGTTACCAATACACCCTCTGACCTTCCATAAATATTGTTGCTTGATAATCTGATGGTGTATTCTGTGGAGGGATCTAAGTTCTCCAAAATCATTTGGGTATCAGGGTACGGAACTGTCTTCACTAATATAAAGTTTTCCGATCTTGATGTCCTCCTTTCTACAGTGTATTTTTGGTGTCTAGTGCTTTAGCACGAAGACACCTATGGAAGAGTGCAAAAAATTTCGAAAAATACTTCATATACCACAAATTACGAGGTCATACTAGTAAGGCCACATGAAAGTATACATTTTGTGATGGTCGACATGAAGGGGGAAAGAAAATGTTAACCAAAAAATGTGTAAACAAATCGATTTATAATCGCGGGGAGTCGGAAACGAAAAAACTACGACGAATCCCATTCAAGAAAAAAACAGAGCGAGGAATAGTCGAGACCAATGGAATTTGGAAACGCGAAGAAAACAACAAGTCGATGAAAAGGTAATGTTTTCTTTCGACGTTGTGCGTAGTCAAACCCACGCGTGGATGGTGAAGTAGGTAAGTGAAGCGGTCTTTTGTGGAGTCTTTATAATGAATTTCCTCAAAGTTTGTTTCTCATTATGCCACAGTTTTCGAAGCACGGTTCAATGTGAACGAGTGAAAGGCTTCAGAAAATAAAGAGAGATTGGTTAGCGTGCATTACAGTGACATTTGTAAATCTGAATTGAGGCAGTCAGATAGAAGAGCGGCTATGTGTGTTGAAAACATATTCTTTAAAACAAAGAAACTGCAAATGAAAATACTATTAGGAAATTCCCAAGTTGCTCTTAGAAAGTGCAAAGGGAATAGCAGAACTTTAAATGCAGCACAACTTAAACAAGAAGGAGCATTAGAGAAATTGATTCATCATGATGATGGATTTCAGTTTCTTAGAGCATTAAGAGGTTCCCTACCATAATTTGAAAAAGCAAAGAAAGACTTGTTTGCCATGATAAGACAATTAGGACCAGCCTTCAGTGTTATTTTGTAGTTTCTCTTCAGCAGAAACTCAGTGGATCCATTTGCTCAGAATACTTGGAGAGTTGGTTGACCACAAACAGTACACTGATACTCATCTGGAAAATATGAACTGGGATGAAAAATGTAGGTTAATTCAAAGTGACCCAGTATCATGTGCCAGACATTTTGATTATCAGATCAGTCAATTTCTCACTAACTTCCTCTTGAATAAGTGCCAACCTCTAGGAAGGATATCTGACTGGTTCTATAGAGTAGAATTTCAACAACGAGGTTCACCTCATATCCATATGCTTATATGGCTAGAAAGTGCACCAGTGTTTGGAATTGATGATGATGCAACTGTTACAACGTTCATTGATCAGATTGTAAGTTGTAAATGGCCAATTGATGACCCACAACTGCAGAAACTAGTGAACAGACAAATTCACAGGCATTCTCACACATGTCGAAAGAAGTCAAAGAGTGAATGTCAATTTAATTACCCGCAACCTCCTATGAGAGCAACTGAAATCATGTATCCTTTAGGTTCAGATATATCACAACACGAAATTAAAAAACATAAAGAAACTTGGAAAACTATTAAAAAGCAACTAAATGATTTAAAGGATGGTGAATCAATTACTTTTGAGGAGCTGCTTCTTAAACTAAGTATTACTGAAAATAACTATCGATTAGCTATCAGGACAGCTTTGAATTCTCCAACTATATTTTTAAAAAGAGAACCAAGTGAGTTAAGAATTAATAGTTACAACCCAACTTGCCTTAAAGCATGGAGAGCAAACATGGATATTCAATTTGTTCTTGACATCTATGCGTGTGCTATGTATATAGTATCATATATTTCTAAAGCACAAAAAGGAATGAGTAAACTTTTGTGACAAGCATGTGCAGAAGCAAGGAAAGAAAATTCTAACATCAAGCAACAAGTCAGGGATATTGGAAACAAATTTTTAAATAGTGTTGAAATTAGTGCACAAGAAGCTGTATACATTGTTCTCCAGCTCCCTATGAAGAAGTCATCACAACGAGTGGTATTCATAAATACTGCACCTCCCAATGAAAGAGTGCAGCTCCTCAAGCAACTTAATGAAATGAAAGAAATGGAAGATGATTGTGAAGAAGTGTATACAACTGGTCTGTTGCAGAGATATGTAAAACGTCCTTCAGCCTTGAACACCTAACATTAGCAGATTGGGTAGCATGGTATGACTTGTCTCAAAAGCCTTATGTAAAGAAATCTTTAACCATTATAACCATTATCAAAGTTGTTGCCATTCCCCATGTTAATATCATAGGTGTGTACAGGTCACCGAAAGTGTCAGTCCAACAAATGTGTCTAGCATTGACCCAAATTCTCAATAGTTGCTGTTCTGATTTTAATGTTTTTCTTGGGGATTTTAATGTCAATTACTTAATTCAAAAAGAGAAAGTTCCCCTCAATAACTTGTTTATAAGAGAGAAAAATTACAGACAATTGGTATCATCCTATCCTAATTAAATTAGTGTTAATTTTTTAATATAATGTATGTTTTTCTGTTTTATTTTTCGATTGTATTTATATTTACATTTTTACGTAATTATATTGATTTGTAGTTACCTTTAGAGGACCCTTCTGTAAACCACTCTTTCTGTGATGTTGGCATCCTCAATAAAGATTAACTATTATTATTATTATTATTATCAATTTGCCTGAATCACAAGTGACTGTACACATTCTGGAAACATATTTCACTGATCATAAAGCAATATGTGCATTGATTAAAACTTGATGTTGTTAAAAATTGAATACACATGTAAGATGTTTGAGAATGTCATAAAGTACCAATAGAATTCAATGTAGGAAGATTAATTCAGAAATTCACTTGACATCCATCATCATAACTTATGCATGTATTGATAAGATGTTCCAATTTTTCAGATCACAAGCCAGTGTTTTTGCATAAATTGAAGGATAGAAACTTGAAAATAGGCACACATGTGAAGTCAGTTAGTTAACTGTCAAGTAACTGATCTAAAAATACTAATTTTCCTCAATGAAATTCCTCAATAAGATAACCTAAAACTATAATGCAATTCTGAAGGTTGTTTTGCTTTTTGGCAACCTTCTTACACTTTTTTCCATCAAAGAATAAACATAGGGATAGAGGTAAGCTTGCAATTTTTTTCCAATTTTATTTGGTTTCCCCTTTCTCTCAATAGTAGCAAACAATTTCCTGGCCAGTTTATATAATAACAACTAAATATACTTATTTCTCTGTTTAAATCTAAGTACCTTCTCCTCATTTTAAGTCTTTGTGTCAATACCAGTAATTTCATGTATTATCCCATTTTTTTCCCTTACAGCCTGTTCCTGAAAAATGGAGGATGAACTTACTGGCCATCTTCATAACATTTCTCCTCTAAAGAAAGGTTCTAAAACCACATGGTTTGATATGCAAATTCTTTGTTCGCAATTCATGGTTCGTGCAGAGGTCCCTAATAAGTTGTTACACATTCTGTTCCTCCAAAAGTTACTTGTAGAAGGGAGAAGACAATTAGAATGCACAGTAGAAACAAGGATTAATTAAATGCAGTATGTAATCAAAATTACAAATTAGAATCAAGTAATCGGTGTGAAATCATGTTGAATTATACGGATGAAAAGGGGGAAGTTGCGATTGAAGGTTACGAGATTATAATTAAAGATTGTTGCTGAATTTGTGTGGTCCCAACTGAAAAAAAAAGTACAGCAGTACATAAACTAAGAAAGTACCCTGGGAAATGCAACACATACTTAACTAACAATGAGACGATTATAAAGAGAACTGAGTGCGAGAAATAAACCAATGTAGTCAATACAGACCGAGAGGGAAATATCGTAAATGTAAAATAAAGAAAGACTTACTTTTGTCTAGCTCCTAACGATAGCAGATGAACATTGAAAGTAACAGCAGCAACTAATGACGATAAAAGATGAGATACAATATCTGATACATGTGCTCAAAAGAAAGTGATTGAAATGGCAAACTTATTAATTAATAATCATTAACTAATGAGGGATTAATTGTTAAAAAGAAGCCAGAACAGAAGACAAGAGAAAAGTACACGAACTACACGCTTCGAAACTAACACTCACGTGAATACAAACCCTATAATATTTTCTCTGGACCAAAAGCTATTGATAAAATTCAAGGAAAGTAAGCAAGAAATATATCTTTATTCCAAAAAGTCTTAGATAGACCGTTCAAAAACGAAAAAACCAAGGAATTTCTTGAACTTACAAGACCTGGGCGATATATGCACCATCGTTGTTTACATAAGTTCATGGCCATAGCGTTGTGTTAAAGATTCTGGAAGTTGAATAATTTAAAGACAAAATCTTCGATTTAATAATACCTTAAAAACATATGAACACTTAAAAAAATAAAATTATCAGTCCAAAAAATAGTCAAATATCGCAGAGTCTCACTTGAAGTTAGGAAGTTCTGTTTTCATTTTCGGGCCTTTCCCTACGCTTTTGAGAATTGCATTTTTTGTTACCCCAAAACTAATTCCGTCGCTTTTACGCTTAAATTTAAATTATTCCAAGAATATGTAGTTTCCATTTAAGCTCCGAAACGTCTGCTATGATTGGGATAGATCGAAAGAGGTAACAACTGTATGCCACAAAAAAAAGAAGTACATGTAAGCAACTAGCTCGCACTAGACACATGTATGCCTTTGCATACCTATTTTTGTATTTGGTAAAGGCTGGCATTTTCTGGCTCATTCCAAGTCAAAATAAAATATCTCGTCTGAACATTCTCTAATGTGAAGCGTCTCGGAGGAGGCGGTAATCTAGTGAACAGAGAGGACAGCAACAAACGCATTTAAAAGTCTAATGAATATTGCGACAGTCATTATGACCCAAACCTTTTTCCACGACTGATTTTGAAATTTACAGCCGCGTGAGTTCTCCTCATAAAAAACCCGCTTATTATCTAATACATATTACTTTTTGATGAACTTATATTTGGATGTACATTTCAATCTCTCTAATTATTTCTCTTTCTCAGTGGTTGACTTTACCTCTTGGAGGACAACGAGATATATTGCAATATTCCCATCGCACGTTTGGGTCTGTGGTATAACACCACGGTCCATCTGGGGCACTGCTGTCCGGGTTATGACACAGGTTCGAGTCATTTTTGGATTTGACAACATCTTTAGGGATCCGCCAGTGACGTTGAGGACACTGGGATTTCCAAGACTGACACATACGACCAGACCGGGTGACGTTCACATTTCCATGGTAACCAAAACCCACTCCATAGTAACAATCTAAGAGAAACTGGATATTTGAGTTTATGGCAGTGCAAACGTGGAGTTTCTGTGCACTGAACATTAATGTACCCTTAAGCTATAGATCGGAGGGCGAGAGTGTGCAAAAGTCATCCAGTTTGCGATAGTGAGATTAAAGAAACCAATATATTATAATATCTTGAAGGAGGTTATTCTACAAACAGTGTGGTTTTTGTGTCATCACCTTTGGGAAGAGAAAAAATATTGGAGTGCGTGTCAAGATATGATAACAAGTATAAAAAAATTGTAAAAGTTGTAATCTTGGGTGCATACTAAAATTTAAAGGATTCTATCGTCAATCTAGTTGTCAAAGTGTTGCACTGAATGTTCCCACTGACCAAGAGTCGCGCCGCTTGAGCAATAATAAAGTCTACTATAGTATAACGGGAACTCTAGCTTTCTTCTGAGTTCTCTTGCCTGTTATCTTCTCCTCATCACCCCTTCTGTCATAAGGGAAAATAAAAATTGTAAAATATTTGAATATTTTTTTAGGATCATAAACAAGTTCGCCAAGTTTAATTTGAGAATGACGCCAGGCTTTGTGCATGACGCTGCTTATAAACTAGTATCATTCCCTGAGATCGTGCACCGGCATCCTGAACAGTGGAGCTTAACTTTGGAACAGAACTAGAAGGCCTGAGATACTAGTTCTGACAAGCTCTGATCCCCACACACCTGGTATGTGAACTGGCTAACAACATCGAAAAGATGATGTCGTTCTAGGGTTTCTGTAAATGCAGAGAATTTACATAATTTCTTGGTGCAAGAGTCATAAATAAGGTTGCTTGACTGTATTTCATCATCATTTCTCACCTGGGAAATCTTCACATATAAAGGCGTGCTCCTCACTACAGTTAGTGCACTCCGGGAGAGTATCATGGATTACCATACAGCATAACTTACTAGGTTCCTTAGACTGTGCTTCTGTACGATTAAAATTGTTCACAACGTCGACAAGTTGTATACCAGCCGTATTGTTATCACTCTATTTCCAATCGCCAATCCTGTAACGAACATGTCCAACGTGTCCAGAAAAGAAATAGCATTAAAATGTGTAAACGTAACGACAGAGGAATCAAGAAGGCCCTTATCTGATATATACTAAAACAGTGGATAGCGTTGAAGGCCGTCATTGGTTAATCAAACTCTAAATATCCTTTGCTATGCACCACCGGACAACTTGCGCGGAATTTGCGCCCGAAAATATTGAAATCGTTGCAGGAACAAATGGGCTAAAGATTATCTTCTTTTTACAGATCATCTCAATGTTTTAGTATATTCTACAAAAAAACAGACAACCACCTCCACATCTGTTAGTGAATAGTTGTTAATTAGTAATACTACTGGCATCAAACTACGACACACATTATTTGTCAAAAATGATGAACAGCGGAATAAACTTAAGTACGCAGTAAATAATTGTTACTCATCAGACATGGAGACTCGTCCAATATTTCATGCCGTTAGTGGTATTTGATATATTTTTAGCTAACTGAAGGTCGTCAGCGTTTCTAATTTTTGCCAGATGGTCACTATGGTTTTTTGTTTTACATGCTTTGTCTGCGTCTGTGTAATTCCGTTTTTGGTGGTGAACTCTGAATGGTCTTGCACCAGAAGCGCCTACAGGTCATAAAAGTGAACATAACAGTAATTTAAGATTAAAATTTCATTTTTTTTCTTATCGCGATGATAAGTGCTTAAACTACATTAAAATTATTTAATTAATCTTCTTCTTGTTATGATGAGCGGTAAGCTCCCACAGGAATTCTCAATAATTCAGTTGGCGGCCAAGCCAGACGAGACAAAAGAAAATCTTATCGTGAACAACTCTGTGAAAGTCTGAGTGATTATATTTTCTTTATCCAAATGATCGTTGCTCATGTCATAGAGATTCCGTCACTCACTTTGTGGAACATAACAAGATCTCTGTAAAGGACACGATTGGCAATTAAAACGTTTTTTTTTATTAAGGTCGTCTCTTATCATCAGCATGGGTAAATATAAACTGGACCATTGGACCCTTGGACGATTGGACTATTTTATTGGACTATTTTTTTGGACTATTTTTGGACCATTTTATCGGGGGGGGGGGAGGTAGACCATTAGTGCTTAAGGAAGGGTGGGATGCAGTCTATCAGTACTCAGGAAGAGGTGAGAAGCAGACTGTTGTTACTGGGGGAAGGGGTGGAAGACGAACAATTAGAGTAGGAGGTGGTTGTATTTGAAAATGCTACTGATTAATGGAGTTGTAAACGGATCATACAAATTATTTTGAGCATACAAATTATTTTTTTCTTCCTCTCCCCCGATAAAATGGTCCAAAAAATGGTCCCAAAATTGTTCAAAAAAAGATCGAAAAAATGGTCCAAAAGTTGTCTAAAAAATAGTCCAGTAATCCAGGGGTCCAATGGTCCAGTCCATATTTTACCCTATGCTCCTATTACCATGTATCGTCTGTATGTGTATCTTGGTTAAAAAAAAATTAAAATTCCTCTTTCCACCAACCCCAATGAGCCAGCATAGTGTTGAATATGGTAAGAACAACAATGGCACGAACTTGAGCCATTTCTATGCTGTAAGGCTGGTTACCAGTACAAGCATTTCAATCAAATGTAAAATGAAAAGATAAAGACGAAATTAATTCGAGGTCACGAAATGATGATCAAATTAAAATTTTTCAGTAACGAAACTGCACAAGAGCTACTGAGTCCTCCAACTCAACTAAAAGCTCAGTGTATTATCGACATTCGGAAAGTCCGGAGCAATATGACGTGAATAAATCAGTATTGACAGATCAGTCGATACTACATTATCTTTGACTATTTTGTTTGATAATTTATAAAACATTTTGAAAGTTAAATCCGATTCCTTCTTTTAAATGAGATCAAATTTTTCATAATTAACTCTTCTACTAAAGAATGATAGTTTAGAAGTAATGTTCTTCCATGGGTATCCCAATAACAAGTAGAATACCTAATTAATTTTTACAACCTTTGATCCTTGGAGGCTGCTTGAACGACGTAATCGCTAGTAAACAATGGTCGCAGCACGTACGATGCCAATTTGCTTGAGGGCAAACCTACATACTCCCACGCTGCGTTGTCTGGATACTATTTGAGACTCGTTTTCTCGTAGTATAAGATCAGTTCGTCCCTTCCCCCGCCCGCTTTGGTGGAGATAGGTTTCTAGATTTTGTGGAATTAAATGTGCGTCAAATACATTTAACGCCATAAACTGATCCAAGTTAGTTTTGCGGACAGAGTTGTTCTTCATGGCCGTTTTGTTAATCTTAATAAATAAAATGATCACCCCAAAATACTGCTCTCTTAATAACTAGTGGTTCTGCAGCACACACACACTGTCATAGACACTGTTTTCCACTATGAATAATTAAAAACAGGAAAAACAATGAAATGTCAAAGCACTAAGGATTATGTTTAGTATTTAACCCGCGGTGACGTGACGTTTAAATCTGGGTACACTAAATGCAAATGTTTATCGTCCAAATGCACCAAATTTCTAAATTGCACTGAGTTTCTAAAACTAAATGGTTTAAAATTCCCTTTCCTTTCAAATGAAAAAGTTTAGAAGCAAGCACATTCATCAAGGGCACACAGGGAAGCAGTGATTTTGCATGAGTTTGTATGAACCACTTACCAACCCAGTGAATACCTTTTTGCTGACTGCTATATTCCTTCACAAGGCTCTGACCTCTACGGCGCAAACCTCACTGACACGTTACTTTGATTTTCAGCTCGAAAGTTTGAGTTATGAAAGATGATTTCGAATGAACAGCCACGCGAATGACAACGACTTCCTGTCACGACATGTTTCCGTTCTAAAACAACACAAGTTAATAACCTTAATAGGGGAGGTCTTTCCAGAGGCGGAAATTGCGAAAACTTATTGTCTCCATTCCTTTTTCATTAATATCTGTCGTTAGTGTGAAAAACGTATGCCACAACAATGCAAAATAATAGTTTTTGTGCTCCGATGATTTCCAATTTCCAAAAAAGAAGCAGACAATTTTTTTTCATTCGTTTCTTGATCTTTTTTCGATATGAGCTTTCCTAAGTACTGCTATTCGTTTAGCTATAGTTAAAAGCCAGACTAGTGAAGAAAAGAACACCGGCGCCTGGAGCTACCACATTAACATGATTTCCAAAACGTCCCGATGAGAGGCAAATTGCACACTGGAACATCGATCAGTCGAATTGAGTTGCTTCGTTTTTGCGTCAAGGGCGAATATTTTTTCAACGAGGTGTGTTAGAAATGATCCTTAACTGCAGATGGTCTATTGGATTGAAGTGTTTGGGGTTCAACAGATAAGTACGATAGTACAGTAAAATGAATAAATCAGAAATTACAAAGACGCCTTGAGTGGAAATATATGGTAGACTTGGTAAATGGTAGTGTTGACTGAACCGCAATATTAGCATACCAATTCAATGCACATGATTGCTTGAATTGTGTGTGATTTTGTTATCGATTGAAAAAGAACCTTAAAAAATGGAGAGTTGTTCCTGCTTGTTGCAAAATCCTCGATGAAAATCAACCGCGGGACGGCCACATTTATTTCTTTTCATCGTTTTGAGAGCACGCATCGAAGCAATCAGAAGTTAATAAATTTGCTATTTGACGTCCGAGATATTTTCTGCTCCACCAACCCTTATTGTGACACAAGTGATCAAGTGACATCGTTTTGCGATCATTTTATTTCACACAAGTGATCAAGAGACATCGTTTAGTAATCATTTCACTTATACTGTATGTAACAACAGGAAATACAAGGGAAAGACGCGGCTGATCCATAATAATGATAATGATGTTCAAAATAAAAATAATAACTTCCCTTCCGTACAAAGATACTGCAATATTACGGTTGTAAAAGTCAATGTATCGGCTCAAAAACTGTTTCTTACGAGTCAATGCTTCCTGTCAACTGATGAAAGTAAACAAGGAAACTAACGCAACAGCATATACGGCAAATGTGCAAATGTTATGATATAACAAAGATGAAACTGGATATTAAACGTTTCTATATAATATCTCTGCACTGAATTACTGACTAATCAATACGTTTAATGATGCAAGTTTTCTAAAGACGAACAAGATAAGGTCGTGACGTTTAAAGGTTTGTTCGATCTCCGAAGCTAGGTAGCAATCTCGTGGCTGCCAAAATTACTCAAAACCATCTGTGAAGCTCTCTGTTGTAGCACAGATTTTTTTAATGATATTTCATTGCAATCTACTAACTGTATGAGAAAATCTCCATCAAACCTCTCAGGACATTTTTATTATCAACAAAATTACATCATCAAAAGGCAGGGGCAGAGATAGTGATAACTATCATTGGTGTAAGTTATCAGTTTAAGTAAAAATAAATTTGCACTATTCCTCATGGCGTATGTAATATAAGACAGAAATTTTTTTATGCAATGTTATGGTTATTAAGCAGTATGTACATTGATGTAACAGTGTGAGGGATTTATTTTTAATTCCCAATTATTAACTTTTCCCTCTCCCTTCGCGCATGATCATCAACACGACCAGTCATGATAATTATTTCCTTACGTCTTTTGTTTTAGTAAGTTCTTTCTCAAGTGACGCCAAAAGATCTACAAATGATGGACGTTTCATCGGATCCAGATCCCAGCAGGACTTCATTATCTCGTAACTGTTACGAGAAAAGATTAAGTTTAGTCAGTCAGCCAAGATCAAATGCGAGCCATTATATAAGAGCTGATTTTCATCCTATGAAAGATTATTTACATTTCATTTGGGCATCCATCCGGCTTCGCTAAAATTTGTCCTGACTGTAGATATTCGATGATTTCCATTGCTCCTCCAAGTTCGCAATATGGCATTATACCTTGACAAGGAATGATAACAAAAAACAACATATCCGCAAGGGTACAATGAACTTAGTCCAGTTTATAGAGTGGGGCACTTAAATAACACTTGGGGAAGTAATGAGGATGCACTGACCATCAAATATAAGTTAAAGCGTTCACCTTCTGACTCGATCTCCCATAGAAGCACTCCAAACGACCACCTATCAAAAACATCATGCGCAAAAATTTAGTTTGTTTTTTTGCACTTGATTTCCAAATTTTAAAATATAACAAGACAATAAATCTGTCAAAATTTTCTCAATTTTTAATCCGTAAATTAATTATTTAAAGACAAATAAGACATGTCAATTTATGAAAACAACGAAATGGACAATGAAATGGACTCGCTCTCGTATGATTTCTCAACTTATGCCTTACACGTCTGTCTTCGTGTTGAATGTGAAGAAGTCCAAAGACTCAAGGGCCATCCAACGAACTGGTAACATTCCCTGGTTTGTGGGAGAAATTGGAAAGGTTTACTTTCAGTACAATGATCCAGCATTCCAATGGATACAATTAAACAATGAACTTTTGTCATTTCAGTGTGTGGATACTTTGACCGATAACAACGATAATAGTGTTGTTGAAAGGGGGCGGGGGGGAGGAAATAAAATGATTTCACACTGCTTAAGTTTCTATGTTAATTATGATAGGACAAACTGTCAGAGGTAACTTGAATGAATAAATCTCTAAGCTAATATTCATTAATGCTTTAATAGGAAATACAAGGGGGACGCTTTGAAATGCAGAGCAATCCTTGTTGAAAAGCCATAACTCTTAGAAGTTCTACCATACCCCTCGCCTTTCCCTAAACTTTGAGGAAACTAGTCATACCCTGGATAAAGTCTCGTATTCGCCACTTTCGTAAACATCACGTGACAAGCCGAAGTCGGAAACCATCGCAACATTCCTGTCTCCAAGAAGCACGTTTCTTGCAGCAAGGTCACGATGAACACACTACCAAAGAAAACCAAATGGAAATAACTAATTATAGGTTCCTTAGGGTTAAATAGAGCTTTTCAATATCATAACTACCTTTTTGCTTGAGAGGTGAGACATTCCACAGGCGACGTCTCTTGCAATCTTCAATTTGTCGACGCGTGTGAATCCGACAGATGTTATCGAATCACCGTAGTATAGATTTTCTCTGTTCTTCTTCAGTTCGTTTAGCAAACAGCCATTTGGAGCCAAACTAACAATCACCAAAATTGATTCTAGGTATTTAATCAAAAGTAACATGTTGGAGGAATACAAAAACTCGAGAAAAGAGAGTTAATTAATAAAATATTTGTTCTGTTGAACAAAATTGAAAGTATGCTTTTAGGAAGACAAAAGGAAGGCCAAAAGTCTTAAAAAATTTGCTCAGTAAATCTAGCAGATTAGACAACTGCAGTAACCACAGTAACAAATTTTTCTCTAGAATAATTACCAGACTTGGTACACGCTCCAATAAGACTTATGATATTAGGATGTTCACCAATTGTGACCAGGATTTGAAGCTCGTTGAGCAAGTCTTCCTTCTCTTTTTCTGCAGTATTGGCTGAAATGGAAAGTCCTCTTATTAATTATATTAACGCCCTTGCGTTATTAATATTAATCAATTGATCAGTGTAGTGGGTCAGTCGATCAGTAAAACAGTCGCTTCGTCAGTCAGTCAATGAGACGTACAGTCAATCAATCAAACTATCAGTAAATCGATCCGTCAGACAAACGAACAACGATCGAATAAACCAAATGAGCCTATAAACCTGTTGACCCATTTCCTTTTAATATTTTAGAATACTATCAAAATCTTTACCTTTAAGCTTCTTTACTGCACATGCCCTAGTATTTCCCTTTATGCACACCACGCCTTTAAACACTTCACCGAACGCGCCTTCCCCCAGCTTATCTTGAAGGATAACATCTGATCTGCGAATCTCCTCCCAGTTGCGACGAATGAAAATTTCTGTCTGCGGGAAAAAGAGGAAAATCAGCTTCATCCACTCAATCCTTTTTAAATATTTAAACACACTTACCTCATCATAAACTTTGTTTGGCCTGGAATTGCGATTTGATCCAAACTTGACACAAACAATCACGATGAATATAAATGCTAAGCCCAGCGGCAAAACTATGATCAGCATTAAATTCACAATAAACCTGTCTGGAAAAAAGGCAACGAACGCATTAGTTTAGAAGTGGCTACGAGAGCCTAATTGTGGAAGAACTCTCTAGAACAGAAAGAGGCATGATTGATTTATATTTTGGATATTAGAAGAGGCTTGCACAAATGTATTTCATCTTTAACGCGATGAAGATAACTCAGATTAAAAGACAAATGTTTAACAGCTCTGAGACGTAAGATAAATCTGCACATAGTATTTCTCATCAGGTTTATGATGATTACCTGACAGTGTATTCTGGGTTAAAAATACACCATCTGACCTTCCATACATATTGTTGCTTGATAATCTAAGAGTGTATTCGGTAGAGGGTTCCAAGTCATTCATAATCATTTTGGACTCAGGGTAAGGAACTGTCTTCGCCACTGAAACGTTCTCCGATCTTGATGTCCATCGCTCTATGGTGAAGCTTTGTATTTGGTAAAGACTGGCATTTACTGGCTCATCCCAAGTCAATATCAAGTATCTTGTCTGCACATTCTTTACTGTGAAGCGTCTCGGAGGAGGCGGTAATTCTAGTGTACGGAGAGGACAACAACAAATGCATTTAAAAGTCTAATGAATATTGAGACAGTGTAATTGAAGTAGTTGTCGCGATTAACAACAGTCATTAAAGTCTTTTGGCGGCGGCGGCGGTTTTCCTAAATAATGAAAGACATCAACAAAAACTCTGAAAAGCCTGGTGCTTAAACATAACCAATATTTTTAATTTTTTTGTCTTCTTTCTTAAGTATATTAGGTCATTTAATTGTCAAGATATGCTATGCATGATTTTTCATATACGTGATATTTTGCGCAGATAGAATGTGACCATGATTGATTTTGTCTGTCAATATCTTTCTAATTTTTTTTTTTTTGCTAGTATGGGTCAGAAGCAGCAAACGTTTAATAGCTTATAAATCTATTGCAGTTATCTCTCAAGTGATCTCTTACCCCTCCCCCCACATCAGTGGCTAACCTTTACTTCTTGGAGGACAACGAGATACGTTGCAATATTCCCATCGGACGTTTGGGTCTGTGGTATAACACCACGGTCCATCTGGGGCACTGCTGTCTGGGTTACGACACAGGTTCGAGTCATTTTTGGATTTTGCGACATCTTTAGGGATCCGCCAGTGACGATGAGGACACTGGGATCTCCAAGACTGACATGTACGACCAGACCGGGTGACGTTCACATTACCGCGGTAACCAAGACCGACTCCAAAGTAACAATCTTGGATAAATAAAACGCATTTATGACGTCAACTGAGGTACTGCACAAAGAAAATAGTTAAAAACTGGGAGATAAATTAATGTTTGAAGTCGTTTTGTAGTTGTGGAACGGAGGCCAGGACACTAAATTACTGCCTCGGTTCCTCGGTTCGGTTCTGCGACGGGAATTCTCTGTAATCGAATTACATTTAAGAACAGTACATAAATGACTGACCTATGCTGTTTGTGTTGTCACCTGCAAGAGGAAAAAAACAGATTGCGGCATAGGTTAGGAAAGGACGAGCGAAATTATCAAACTCTGTGGTTTGCGTAGCTACTCAAGCTTACAATAATTGTAACATTGGGTGAAAACATTAGACTAACAGCTTCAGGTGTTTTACTTTTGCATAGCTATAGAGTGTTCGCACTCGTAATTCTAAAGGGATTACAAAGGCTTTAAAAGGAAAATGGGAGCTTAAGGCTCCTTCTCATTTCATTTGCCTGGAACCACCACCTATCAAAAGGGTAAAAATTTTGTATGACTTTACAAATAATAAATAAGATCGCTCCGGGGTGCTATTCTGTTCTGGTTAGAAAGAAAAAAAGGCGCCCATGAACAAAACATACGAATGATGACCGCTGACTTCCTAAAAGAGTAAAGTATGACTTTGGAACAATAATAAACTCCCCGACAAAGGCTTTGGAATCAAATGGAATTTAGGGCGAAATGGATGGGGGATCAGTCGTCGCCAAAAAATGTAAAAGGTACTGAAAGAGGTACTTTTTAACAATTATTCGTCTCCGAAAGGAATTATTAAACACTATTCACGGAGCCAGAGGCGAATAATTAGTTTTAATGAAAATTTCTCAGGTGCTTTCGAGTTCTGTTGTAAATATGACACATGACACACTAGTCGACCAATCAGAGCGGACGCATCTCTAAAATCCCTGCAGCAATGATTGTTAAGAATATTAACTGTCGATGAGGGGGGGTCTTAAAAATATTACAGAGCTTTATGAGGGGATCAGTAAAATTGTATGATGACACGACCAAAAATCCTCCTAACCCCCACCCTCAGGCCAGGTCTAAGCCTGAGATAAAGGATTTGTAGCAGTTGTGTAACACTCACCAGGGATATCTGGCCACTCATAGCACTCAGGAGCATCCCCACCGTTAGCCGGTTGGTAGAACGAGCAATTAATCATGTTTGGGTTGAAATCTGGGGACGAACTCACCGCCATTTTGAGAACATCCGCCTCTTTTTTGCAAACATCGTCCATCAAATAATCGCATGAGCTGCGACAAATCCTGCGATCTGTAGGCTTGCCGAGGGATTCGTCGCAAGGCCGGAAGTGATAGCGGCAGTATAAATCTTTGATTATAGGCTGGCATTTTTCTGAGATGTCAAACCATTTGAAATAAGTTTTAAATGTCTCAGTTTCCACTTCTCCAAAATCCAGTGTCGTTTGGTTACCATAAACGTACAAACTTGTGATTATATCCTTGCAAAATTCGCCTTTATACTCATAGAATATACAGGAAGCGTTTCTTGCGGATGCAGTAACTGGAGGAAATGCTGGAATGCAGCTAAGGATTAAAAAAAACAACAAAAGGAATAAAATGATTAAGCTGAAAAAAAATGTACAAAGGGGCTTTGGCACATCAGTGAACTGTTAAGCATACCAACCTCGCATTAGAATTCACTTGAGTGTAGTTATTTTCTGTTTATCGGTAAGAGAAAATAATGTTAATTATTATTGAAATAATGATAATAATACTTAAAGTAACATTTTCAATAAATTGATTCAATAGAAATAAGGAGGAAGATCTAATTTGATAGTGTAATTAATTTTATTTTTATTTAATCCTTATTGATGGTTGTGCCGCCGAAAATTTTCTGCAGATGCAAAACAAGCCAGAAGTTTATGTTTGCCAGGGTAGTCCCTCCGTTTTCAGTAAAATTGCTGAACTGTGTTTAACACGTCTCACCTTGGAAGTCTTCACATAGAAAGGCGTGCTGCTCGCTGCAATTGATACACTCCAGGAAAGGATCATGGGTTACTACACAACAGAAAATCATTGGTTCCATAGACAAAGCTTCTGTGTCATTATAATTTTTCACAATATCGGTAAGTTTTCCAGCAGCAGCCTCTCCATCACTCCATTTCCAAGTACCATTCCTGCAACAAACGTATCCATAACCAATTTAGAAACGCTGACAAAAGAAGAGAAAAAATGCAAAAAATTGAAAGGTTATCATGTTATTACCAACTACCTCATGCATAGCTTGAGGTGGTTGGACTAAACAATTTAAAAGTCGCGTAAGTACGCCATGACAATTTCCACTCACCAGATGTTGAGACCCATCCAGTACTTTATACCGTTGGTATTATTTGATACATTTTTAGCCAACTGAAGTTCTTCGATAGTTTGAATTTTTGCAAGATGACTTCTAAAATCTTTTGATCTGCATTCTTTATCTGCCTCTGTGTAGTTTACTTTTCCATGGTTGGTTCTAAGAGTTTTCGCATCAGAAAAATCTGATCGAGAGAAAATCAAACTTTTAAAAATTTAGTAATTTCAACAGACTCGCCTTCAAGTCAATTTTCAAACTAGTAGGTGAAAATAATTGTAAACCTTACACAAAACGTCAAATGGTTGACTTTTTTATTCTGTGTTTCGGAATCAACTCTACATATGATACATATTGATGTAGTAGTTCCATGGATCTTCAGCTGACAAGGATTCTGTCTCAAACTTAAGCTTTGTAGAAATCCGTTTCCCATGAATAGCTTTTGATTATTATCTTTCCTCCGCAAGAGTAAAATGTTATTATAATGTATTCTCATTCGGCTGTGAGTATAGCATCTGAAACAAAACTAAAGTAACTTTTTTCTACCAACCGCAACGAGCCAAGATGATGCTCAAGAAGGTGAGAACAACAATGACGCGGCCTTGAGTCATTTCTATGCTGTTAGGATGGTGATCAGTGCATGAACAACAATCTAGTGTAAAGATGTAAAGATAAATACGAAAATAGTTCGTTTAAATTTGATGCAGAACGAACGATTTATTTAAAATCGATAAACAAAACAAAGGATAGCCATTAATTGAATCAGCTCTATTCGATAATGTGAGTAAACTCGATCTGCAGAAAGACATGTATACATCAACTAGAATCGAGCGATTACATAACGTCAAATTGTATTTTATTATCCCAAATCAGTTAAATTCGGTTACTAAATGGATATCATCGGCATAAACATGTTTCGAACAACTCCAACTTTTCTTCTCCAGTGTACGAGTATTTCGGGATTTTCTTTTTCCCGGGCATACATATCCTAATAAAAACCAGGATACTTGTAATATCCGTAGTGGCACTTTAGGGTTCACCAGCCCAGAAAATTACAAATGTTATACAGATGTCGTTTTAAATCATGTTTGCAGCGTGCGAAATGCCAATTTGATGAAGGGCAAATCTGACTATTCAAACACCACTGTTTGAGACTCACTTTCTTTTGTTGTATGAGATCAGTTCTTCTTCAACTGAGTTCGACTTATGTCGTTTTAAATCATGTTTGCAGCGTGCGAAATGCCAATTTGATGAAGGGCAAATCTGACTATTCAAACACCACTGTTTGAGACTCGCTTTCTTTTGTTGTATGAGATCAGTTCTTCTTCAACTGAGTTCGACTTAGGTTTCTTTGTGAAACTGAAATGAGCTAAAAACACGGTTACCATTGCTAATGAGACCAACTCAGTAGTGGAAACATACATGCAGTTGTTCTTCAGGGCCATTCTTGGCCTCATTTATGAGACTGATCGTCCCATAATACAGCTTACTAAATTAAGGGTCCACCGCTTACAAACTTTCTCAGTTAAAAACAGGATAACAATACTCTTCCAAAGTACAAGATCAAATTTCATACTCAGCCCGCCGTACGTGACGTTTGAGTTACATTAGGACAAACACTTCGTTATGAATAAACTAAAAGCAAATGTGTGCCACCAAAATGCATTAAACTTTACCACATACTTTGAAGTTCGCAGCCTTCTTAAATCGGAGGGACGCTCGATAGAATTTTGGATGCAAGATAATACGACCTTTGTTACACGGCATTCGAGTAATTTTGCCTGCATGCCGGTATGAAAACCAATCACAAATTTGAATACCTTTTTTCTGACTGTAATCTTCACTTATAAGGGTCTGACCTTTTTGGCTCCGCTGACTAAAACTTTCCCATAAATTTCGGCACGAAAGCTTGACTTGAGAAAGACGACGTCGGATTGCCAGTCAAGCGAGTGACACCGACTTCCTGTCATGACATGCTCCAGTTACAAAACATAACACAAGCTAACGAGGGTAGGTCTTGGTAGAGGCGGAAATTACATTAACTAATAGTCTCTGTGATCTTCTCTACTGACCTTGTCAAAAGCATTAATTAATATCTGCCTTTAATGTGGCAAACGCACGCAAAATAGTTAATTCAGCAGTCTCTCAAAATATTTTAATTGACTTTTCAAGAGGCAAAGAAGTCTTTGCATTCAGACCCTCTCCAAAAAAATGTTGTGATTGAATAATGTAAATTAGTCTCGAGAAAGACAGAGAGATCATCATCAGTCATCAGTTTTTCTCATGAGATATTCAAATTATCCAACCACAAAGACTTCCTTTTTGATCTCGTTTGAGCTCCAATAAAACTGCGCATGCTCTGAGCATCTCAATAAGCTTTTCATATCTCTGAAGTTCAAATATTTGTTCTCCCATTGTTCAAGTGGGTAACTCTTTGCAAGTCTGTTCAATTTGGTCATTTGTACCGTAATTTGTAATTCAAAATCACACAACTCTCTCTCACATAGTTGTGAGTAGGACATTCATATGTCGTTTTGAAAAAGTATCCGATTGCATTCAATCTGATTGGTTCTTAGTGCGGTTCATATTTTTCTTATCCCTACCCAAAAGCAAGAAGGAATTCATTTTTAAGTAAATCAAGACGAGTAATAACTTATTAATCCTCTCTTTTCTCTCTCTCCACGATTATTAAATTGGTTGACACGCAGCCTAAATCCGTTTGTAATTTACTTCAATCCTTCACAAAAAGTAACTCTTTGCAAGTCTGTTCAATTTGGTCATTTGTACCGTAATTTGCACAACAAAATCCGAAGGAATTCAACGAGAAAAAGCTGCATTAAATTCCATATGGTTCTCAAAAAGGTCTCACTGGACTCTAGTTTTTCAATGGAAGAAAGACCAGATTTACGTACGCCATTGCAGCAAACAAACGAGCAAACTCCCACAACTTTAAAGCATGCATTTGAATTTACTGATTATTACTTTCCTTGTCATTTACTGACTGAGCAGAGGTATTCTTCGTATATAAATCATGGATGGAAAAGAATTATCCTTGACTTAAGATCACTGAATGTTTTTGAAGAAAACATTGTCGTGACATTCATTAAACTTGAGTTCGTTCGCAAAACCAGTACCGTTGTTTTTTTTTTTCAAATGTATACACGTGCTTTTCGGTCTTATACTCTCTCTAATTGATATATGTCAGATTGTGACAGATTCTTGAGAAAAAAATTTTTCGAAGTTTGTTTGGAAACCTTTTAAATCACCTTTATCACTACGCAAATAAAAATATTTCGGTGAAACCTCTCTCTTAATTTGTATTACCTCTGTTTTAACTACCATTTACTCGCTCAAAAATTGAAGGATCTTGCCGTAATTGCAGCCCTGAATCATTCGGGTTCTTTCGTTAAGATTAAGAAAAAATTAGAAGTGCTATTTACCAGCCTAGGTCGGTCCTTAATGGGAAAAATTGTGCCCTCTATCTTGAGTACAGTTTTCCCAGATTTTAACTGCCCAAAATTCCCAGCTTTTTCATTTTTACTTCCGACACTTCACATATAATATACTTCTAAATTCATATTCTTAATCATCTTATTGTTGATCTAAACATAATTCAGCCGTGGCTGTAATGTTGTAGTAAATAAAGTATCTAATCAACTCAAATGATTGACAATGCATATTAAGCTAGTATAATCTCAACAAATGCAATGAGCTTGTCAGGGAATTTTTTCTCGATTTAAAGCTAATCTTCTCCCTTTTTCCGTAAAATTTTTTTTTAGCAAAACGGGGATTTGCTCCTATCCCGATCTCAAAAACCCAAGGTTAGTGCACTTTTCAAACTCACGCGAGCCTCAAGCTAAGCTATACCCAATCAGCTATGTATATGATATTTATTTCTATATTCATGTTTCGATATTTATTTATTCGTCCATTTGCTTATCTATGTATTTATTGATTTATTGTCATTTTTATCGACTTTGTCTGTGTGTTTATCTTTGAATACACATGTTTTCTTTCTCTTTGCTTTGTTTCAATCTATATCTTTGGTTGCATTCCAGCATTTCCTCTGATAATATCCTCCACAAAAAGTGCTCCCTGTATATTGTTAGAGTAGAAAAGAAAACTTGGCAGAGGTATAATCACTACTCTGTTGGTTTATGGTGAAAATTATGAAGAAAACGAAGGCAGTGGAAGACTTTTTAAAACTGTTTGAGATTACGTTGATGTGCAGACTCATAAGGAGCCCATCTAACTTAGATGGATTTAATTGAGTTAAATTCCTTTGTTTTCTTTGGTATCTTACGCTTGTGTTCATCGACACCTCGCGGCAAGAGACGTGCTTCTCGGCGACGGGAATGTTGCCATGGTTTCCAACTGTGGCATGTCACTAGATGTGTACGGAAGTGTTGAATACGAAAACGTATCCGGGATATGGCCACTATACTTGATCCTTGTTTTCTGAAATTGCAACCTTTAAGTGTCTTTATCAGTCAATTATCAAGTATTATAGTTCTTCCTCTTGACTAGGGAATATTATACCAGTTCATTAGGTAGCTCTTGAGTCTTTGGAATTCCGCATATACAACACGAAGACAATTGTGTAAGTTGTATACCATAGAGAACTGCAGGACATTTTTGAGAAGTATCTCAGTCTGTTCGCTTCATATAGTTTTGTTTGTCATTACCTTTCCTTTTATAGACTGTTTCGATCTTGATGCAAAAATATTCGTTTTTAACCGACCTGCGTTTTAAAATGTCTAAATCAAACAAAAGTTAAATTTATGTATGACTAATTTTTCTGACAGGTGGTCATTTGGAATACTATAATGGGAGATTGAGTGTGGAGGTAAAGCACTTACTTGAATAATCAGGAGAACATTTTGGCCATCAGTGCTAATGTAAATATATTTTTAAGAATCCCACGTGAGTGGGGCCAAGAAAGGTTATACGCAGTTATAAAGTTTTTAAGTCATATAGTTCCATATAAAATCTCTTAGTGGGTAGACATTTATCATAATTAATTGTTACTAATTTAACTAGGATAATTTCATGGTACCATGGCGAGAATGTCTTTTTTCCACAAGGTAATATGCTATATACTTGTCTTGCAACAAATTATCACTTTTTTAAAGGCAGGTCGAATTTTTGCACGGATGCTCAAACGCAATGTAATCATCTTTGAGCTTACAGGTATCCATTTTTTCAGAAGGCTTTTATGAGGACTCATAAAACTGAAATCTTTTTCCGTTAATAGTTACAATATCATGAAATCGTGGTGAAATTTGGAGCCAGCAAGGCTTCCATTATTTTCAGAGCTAATGAAGCTACTTGAAAGAGTACTTATTTAATAAAAGACATAATACGATATTCATGTATTTACAATTATCAACTGTTTATTTACAGCTAATTTCGAGGATTGTGTAGTAATAATTAACGGCGGGGAGACTGGTCGTTTAAGGTATTCGCTTTACTATGCCCAGTTTAATGCTTCCTTCCTACTTAAACAACAGCAGGTTGTGAAATAACACATTTATGAGACCTTAGTCAGATGTGATGTCATTGATATACTTCAAATTAAGGAATGCATGCGCGAAAGAAAAAAATGACGCAAGCAGTCATAGGCCAGCCAATGAGTCATCTATCGGGAGGACCTGTATAGAGTTGATCTTTGGCCTAAAGATAACAACAAGAAAAAGTGTTACAATACTAAATAAACAAGTGAAATTTTGCATTAGTTATATTGTTTCACTTTATCATCTTTTCTATCCTCTTTTGTTGTTCTGTTTTTATCTTAATGCGCGATTTCGTTTTTCCATTCACAGAGAAATCATTCTTAGAGGGGTCTTTTAAAAACATCAGATCAGATCCTGAAAAAAAAATCACGCCAACCATTTGAATCAGCAGATAAATACTTACATTCCATATTCTTTACAAAACAAATTTTATTTCTATTGTTTTCCTTGATTTATTTTGAAATACAGACGACATTTATGTTCCAGCCAGGGTTAATCAACGATCATGGACAAGATAACTGGATTTTTCTTGCGTGAATGGATAACCTAGCTAATTTTCGATATATAAAAAATTAACATTTCCATTTTCTGGTAACAAACCTTCCTGTTTCTTTCAGCAAGTTTATTTTTTTCCCTTTCCTGCTCCAGAAGATCTCTACAAACAGCGTCAGAAATGCAATCACGATACCAACACCAAGGACAACATAAACTCCCAGCATGCTCAGCAGGCCGATACGCTTGCGAGACAAAGCTTCAACAAATAGGGAATAAAAAGAAAGCTATAAATTGTAGTCGATGGTGTATGCTTTAACCAACATCGTGGGTTTGTGTGCCGGGTTTACGTTACTTTTAACATTCTTAAAAGTTAAAAATGATATAAAGCGCCGATCTTGTCTAGGTGTGGGTCATGCATAATTCACACCCCTAAGGAAAAGGTTTATAAAGCTTTATTAGGAAAATATGCTTCGTCAATCTGAGGATTCAGAAATGGCTGCCCCCTACCCGTTTCTTGTTCCTCAGGACATCCATTACCAGCATCCCACCATTTTCGTTTCAACGTTTCCAGGAAGTTATTCTCGTGAAGACGTAAAATTGCCAGAGTGAAATCTGCAGTGTGTGGATCATTCGCTTGCAAAGCCAACGAAAGTCCCTTAGCTGTCGTCAAACCTGGAACTGGTAAAAACGTGTCTTTGTGAGATGTAGTAAATGCAAAATGCACCGTTTGATGATGAAAAATTCATTATTTCAATGAAACGAACATAACTGCGTCAGAATATTTACAACCGAATCTGAGGACTCCACAGAACTGTGGAAGTGTCCTCGATATCACCTTTTTCCAACAGGTCCGACAACGTAATAAAGATTTAGAAAGAGGGGCCTGGAGAAATTGTGGTGAGATGCAAAGCTTACTCCAAACCTACGACAAATGGCAATGAATTATAAAGGATCTGCTTAAATCAAAGGACATAAAGTGAAATTCCAAAATGAGTAACAAGATGACAATATTCTCTTGCATCATTTACCAACTGTGAGATCACATGGTGGTTGATTTGCGACATGACGGAGTCCTGGCCCATCTGCAATAAACACGAACTCTTCTCTTTCTCGTACAAGCTGAGCAGCTTTTCCAGAACTCTTTATCACGTTATCTGCCGCTTTAATTCGGTGCCAGATCGTTTGATATGTCTCGTATTGACTTCTTCTGAATGCCTCATAGGTGCTTGACGACTGCACTACCCCTACTTGATACGAAGACCTCACGATATCTTCGAGGTTATTAATAGGACTTTCTGCGTTTTTTACCGTAAAGAAGGCCGCAAGGTTAGCTGTGTATGTTGAAACAGATATCAGGATGGTGAACCAGTAGCAGCTAGCGAGAATGCGACCTGTGAGAAACCAGGTTAAAATATACTATTTCAAGTTTTTCGACCAATCGTAGAGCTTAAATTTTTAAAACACAAATAAGGTGACGGAACACTGCTTCCTGAGAGAATAAAGACCAATGTAAGCAAGACCCAGATATGTTCACTCAACATAGGGATGTGAGTTATTTCAACCTTTGGCTTCAGTGACCTTTTCACGGTAAGGGCAAGCTTCTTATAATGCCAAGACTTCTCGCGGGGATTGGCAGGCTACAATTCTATTTTGTTGCATATCAGCCCTAAACTCCCCGATATCACCTCCCTCACTCCCCCGACCTAACATGGGAAGGGATTACATAGAGGGTAAAGTACGGGAAATAGGAGCGAGTTAAACTGTTGTATATCAAAACGAAAACTCACAGGATGTCAAACAACAAACCAAGAAGCGAAGTACTTTTGTTTCATTAAAACCTAATTCACAAACTTGGGTATTTAGAATGCATCCGTTGATTCACATACAAATCCTTATAGTTCGCCTTTTGTGCAATCATAGAGGCTCATTGGGTGAGCTTGAGATTTGAAGGCAACAACTGAACATCTTACCTGACAAACTACGGGGTGAGTTGTCGGCCCCTTGCTGTAGCATGCAAGACAAAGCAAACCACACACTGTTGAAGAAACTAAACTCCTCTGATGTTCCTTGGCCATTTTCATCTTTGTATCCATAAGGACTAAAGTAATTTATTACAAACACAGCAATAGAGATGATGAACAGGCTGGTGAGAGTAGCAAACCAGACGTAATTGTCAAAAGGATGCATGAACTGTAGAAGGTCAACTTTTCCATCGGAAGATGTCTTCTTCAGCAACATTTCCTCTGTGTAGTACATGTAAGGAACTGTGAAGTCAACAACTGTCTCTCGATGTTCAGTGATAGTTAGATCTGCCACAGCCATATCAGCATTCTTTGGAACAAAGTAATCAAAGAGAACGACTGTGTTGCCAGAAGACAGAGTAAGTGCATAGTTATTTGATAAAGAACCAACAAGTTCATAAGGTAAATTGGCCACCCTAAAGAGTTCCTTAAGCTGACGTTTCGAGCGTTAGCCCTCGCCCTTCGCTCTGATGAAGATTTAAGACTTAAAAAGACAGCTTTAGAAGCTCTTTATAATGGCCAATTTACATTATCAGCTCAGTTGATAAAACCAGATTATCTTATTATACCCCCATCTCCCCATTGACGCAAAACCACAGTTTCTTTCAAAAAAAAATTACCCCTTTATTCATTTAGCATGATAATATGGTTATATCATAGTCTTAACGGTCTTTGAACTAAGTGTTGTAGCCGCGCTAGAAAGTTAAGGTGGAATACTTTAGTTTGCCAGTCACAAGCCACGTTAAAATTGATCGATCTGGCTTACCACTCTTACTATCGATTACCGTCAACAGAATGAGGACATACATCCAGAGGGCATGATTATCCTACGTCACAAAGTGCATGTTTGTCATTCTCAGCACAGATAAAAATTAAAGCAGTGACCCTGTAACCAAACCTTGTATAACAGCTCCCCAATAATCCCATTCCAAGTTCCATTGTCAGTTTCAGCGCCATAAAATCCATCCGGAGTGAAATAGATTTCGTAGGTAAACTTGAGATTCCTCACCAGTTCATTGAGCAAATCAATGCAATATCCTGTATAAAAAACTTCGCCATTTTCTTTCTTCCTGCTCATCATAAAGGGGGCAGACTGTTTTAAAAAAGAAAGACCTTTTTTTGGTCATAAAAACACAAATACAGGACAAACTTTTATCTTACTCGATGTGATTACAAAAAAAGTATTTTTCACGAACATGAATACGTAACAGCACTGATTACCTCTGCAACTACAACTCTGAGCCTTCTCCCTTCCAAACTTCCTGCTCCTAGCGGTGTCACCAGGTTTTGCGAGATATTTCCAAATATAACTGCTTTCATGGTTGAATTCCATGTGCCTACCTAAAATAGGAGGAAGATACTATAAAACAGGAAATGAGTGAAAGACGTAGCAGCGACTCTACGGCTAAAGTGCTTCAAAAAGCACATGCAGTAGTATTTGACGTTTCGACAACCTGAGTGAAAGTCATCATCAGAGTCAAGTAAATAGTTGTTGTCAGTGGAATATTATAAGTCCAGTTCGTATAAAGTGATTGGTCAGTTTTGCTGTGATGTTATTTGCTGTAAGACTCGAGTGATGTAAGTTGGCTCGGTTCGTTTGCGATGTTAATGTCGTGAATAAGTCGTTTGTATGGTGCTGGTAGTAGTTGCCACTTGCGCAAAGTCCCAGTCGATAATGTGGTTCGAGTCGATAATGTGGTTCGAGTCGATGATGTTCAGAAATGTGATTGCTGACCCCAGTCACCTTTCCTCTTCGCCTGCTTGTGTTCAGTCAGTCTCTTTTTGAGGTTTCTACTGGTCTCCCTCCAAACAATAATTTACCTTTGTGAAAGAGTTGCCCCGCAGATTTATAATTTCGAGGTTGATTCCTGTTCGTTTTCCATAATCATCAAAATGGACTGGGCCTGTTAAACCATCCATACCAACCTGTGATAAACAGCACATTACAATTCTTTTTTTTTTTCTTTTGTTTTTTTTTTTCACTTTTTGTGTTACGGTGACACAAGCAGTATATACATCAATTTTAGAAATATCTACTTAATTTTATTGAGACCGCACAAGTTGAGATTTCGCTTCAGCTTCAACATATTTTTCCGTCTAAAACCACTCTTAGGCGAATGGCACGGACTTTGATTTCGTTTGTGTGGTAATGTTACAGTATTTCATTTCTCTTCGACAATTGACCCAGTGAAGAACCGGAAGAAATGTAAGCGAATCGAGGATGAAGGTTATGTTTACGTGAGTAACACAAGCGTTGCTCCAACATATAATTGCTCACCCCTCTCATGCAAAGTAACACGGCTGCTCTATCTTCTGGATGCACTGAGGACCCGTTGATTGACAAACAAGTTTGATCATTGACTGCCTGGTTTATAACTTGGACTGCATCATAGGCAACAGCAAGGAGATCCTAAAGAATCAATTAGTTTGGACTTTTATTTAATGACACTGTATAAATTTCCTTGATGTAGGAATCAGCCCATTCAATAAAGCTTAGCAAACAACACCCTTTGAGCAGACCTTGTTAGTATCACTATGGATGTGTAGTAGGTTTTCTAATTCCTCTGATGCTGGGGTCGGAACGTATGATAACTTCACTGCTATGACAATATTGGACTGGTGGGAAGTTAAATTCAATGGAACCTTAAGAAAAGAAATTCAAAAATTAATTAGTTCCATTAACTAACTTACCACTATCATGGAGCGAAACAGAAATGCTTACAATGATAACGGTTTCGTAAAAATGAAGTACAAACTGGTTTAAAAAAAGAGGCATATTAATAAACGCATTCCAAAAGAGCACAGTGACTGACCTCTCTTTGTATAATCCATTTATAAATAATTCCATCTTTATGTGGGCACGGCGTCTGACATAGAAAATGAAAGCAAAAATCTTTGGCATGAATTCCGTGATAATTACAAAGGTAATTGTAGCATTTAAACATAAAGAGGACCTTTCGAAATTTTTGAGCGAGAACTGAAGATAGTGATATATCAGTTAAGCGAAACATGAATTGAGTAGTAATTGAACTGCGCACCCTGTGCTGCGTATAAAAAATCACGTTACGAATAAGCGCGCGCATCCCGAGAATATGGTATTATTTTTCGATCAATAGAGCAGGTAAAGAGGTAAGATGGTTCTAAGCTCTTGAACGAGCACGGTGACTTGTATTTTTCACTGCATTATTTTGGTACACAAATTAAAAGAAAAAAATTAATCTAAGGGAAAATAAGAGATAGCTACAAGCATGCACGAAGCCTGTTACTCGAAGTTGCAAATTACGACCCTGAAAGCAACGACTCTAGGCACGTTTGGAGTCGATGTCGTTTAAAATTGCGGGATCTCTCCACAAAATTTATAGGAAATTGTTCTATACGTTCGAGAATTACCACTTATCAATTTTTTTTCAAGTGTTATTGTAGAAAGCCTTTCTAATAGCTGTCGCAAAATGTAGAATGAACCGGTGAAATGACGCGCGTGATTAATGCCAGTACAGGCATAAATGGGGTAAGTTTTGCCCATCATATCTCTTAAAAAAGTACTGCGATCTATCTTTTTTATTCTATTTTTCGAAACAGTTATTGGTGGGAAACATTTAAGGAAAGTTTTAAAGAAATCCTTTGATAACGTTTTTTAGGAGGAATCACCTTAAATCAGTATGGTGTTAGCTCCCCCATTTTATTTCAATTAAATGCGGTGTACATCTATGATGAATAACTCTCACTCAGTCGACTCATTTCGATACCTGATTTAACATAAACTCCATATTTTCCTTGTTAACGTAAAGCAGAATAACTTCAGCTTTATAGAATCTTATTTCGTCCATCGTTCTTAGTACTCCTGTCCTTGAATCTCCATTTTCGCCCAGTTGGGAAAATTTGACCAGACCCACCACCAGCTTAAATCTTCTTGACAGCGTGCGAAAGTACCCCGCCTCGTGAAAGCTGTCGTCTGAAAAAAAATATATGATAGCAACTGTTCAGAAAGAAAACTCTCTAAACATCATGGAAGGACATCCAAAATGACAATTCATATCTACATTATTTTAAAATGATTTGAATATCAGATACTAGAGGAAAGTTACCATCAAACACAAGCACCACGCTTCCCCATCCAAATGCAGTTAGTAGGTCGAGTGTGGCATGCGCGTAGTCTTTGTATCCTGCTGACATCTGAATCGCTTTTTCACATTGCTCAAAGGGTCCTTTATTGTCATGGAGACGGACAAGAGGAATGTTCGTCACTGTGGACAATGCGCATGCGCGCGAGTGGCTGTCACTTTCATCAATAAGTGCAATCACATTATCTTGAAGAAACGCTAAAGCTGTGATGAAAGAAAACTAATCATCAACGATTCGGGATTATTACTGACAGCAGAATATAGAGCGTTATGTTTGTCGCAATGAGGTGGTTATCAGGTGGTTTATTTATTTTATTCCTTTCCTCTTTAAAACAAATCGATGACTTGCCCAGCACCTGGCTATCAGTTAGTTCACGCCTCAGTAGAATAATCACCTCCACTCACATTATTGCCATTTCCAGGGAATCGACTCGGCAAATTAAAATATCAGTGGAACAACAACTTCCCCTTTGAAGCATAAAAGTTCAATTTTCACTACAAAGAGATGAGTCATGTCTTGAGATGCTTTGTTTATTACCCTGGCAAATGATTCAATATTAAAGATGTTGCTTTACCAGGGTGAACACCGTAGCATTTAAACTCTGACGAAGCAGTTGTGCCTGACAAACGTGTAATCATCTACTTTGATAATTTACCTTGACTGAAAAGGTTCGTGTTTTTTGAAATGTTGTACTTATTTAACACCAGTGAGATATTGCTCAAACTCGATGTCTTGTTAATGACAGTGTCTAAAATTTCTTCAAATTCTCCTCGATCTCCTCTGAGAAAACCTGAAAGAGAATGATTGATGTTTCATGGTATTTTCCAAAGTCTTGTAATAGTAAGACTCCCTGATTAATAAGTACAATAACTACCCAAATCATGATATTTTTCACATTCATGACTTAATGTTTTCTTTAAATATAACAACAACTTTTTTTTTCTTATCGACTCACCGCAAGTAAATATTTTGTCTGTAGAATATATGTCTTGAATACTGGAGACAATCACCAGTGCGAAGAAAAAGTTTCTTCTTTCCATGTTTAATTCTGAGACAAAATTACCAGAATTTATTTCAATAACAGTTTTGTAGCTATTGATTTATGCTTGTAAACAATTATCTTTGATAAATGCCTGGGCTGCAGCATTTATAATGCTAATGTAATTCATTGACTTCTACTTTATCAAGCCAACTAATATCTTGATTATACACACCAAAAGGAACATGACGGGAGTCATAGGTAACGTGTTTATCAAAAAACAGGAAGAAAATAAAATTATGCGATAAAGCAGGTAAGAATCTTTATGATGTTACTTTGTTAAGGCATGTAAATTATACTCACAACTTTAATAATAAGAATTTAGAAGACTTTAAAGTAATCATCTTAAAATGGTTTTAAGTTGAACATTTTAATGGATTTTAACGGCAGATGGGAACAAATTGATCAAATACGACACTCAAGGTGTTCTTGATATGAACTGTTTTCGCTCAGTAATTATGTCTACCTTTCATTAATTTGGACTGAGATGACTGAATTATTTTTTTCTACCTTAAGGTTTATATCTGGTGACGACTTCGCTTTGGCGCATTCTAATAGTCTAGTATTGCACATGATATTGTTGGATAAACTAATAAATCCATCAACCTTAGGACAAAAAAATTTTTCGAACGTTCTTACTGTCAGGAAAAAAGTATATTTCTTTCAGCTTAAAGATATTATACCGTAGGTGTTGGAAAAGGTAATGAGATATACATAGCAGTTTAGCACCCTCCTCACGAATTGAAATTTCAGGCTTGAGATATATCTATGATATTTCATATATATATCATGTCAAGCAGCCGATAAAAGAATAATTGTAAGTATCTATATAAGCCACAGATCGTTAACCTCAGCCTTTTAGTCTATTTGTAAGTTTTTTAAAAAAATTTTTATCGTGGCTAATGGAATTGTTATGTTTCTTCCTGTTCGTTCTCTATTGCTTTGGGCCTTCTATCGACATTATGTCATTGGCAATGTAGACACAAATCTTAGGGATAACTTACTTTTGGTTGTAGAGTACAGTAATTATTAATTTAACTATGGCCACTGCATCAGACGCTGCATAAGTCAATCCATCTAAGTGCCAATCGGTGTCTCGGACCTGAGTTTTTCACCTCGTAAAAAAAGTGTTACAAACAGAATATCACAGTTATCACAGCTAGAAAAAAAATAATACTAGTCTTAGTTCAAATGACTTCCATTCTCACTATACTACTTTGTTTGTATGGCCTTTGGGGTCTGTTTCCATTTAATGCTAAAGCTGTTTTTTAACGATATTACTGAAGTGACCTGGACGCCCATTGAGAACTTAACAAATGCTTTGTACTTTATTTTGACCATTGTAACTCCGTCATTGCCGTGAGTATCACAATAAGTCACAAATTTAACTGAAATAATTTGTTTTCAAAGAATTCCTAACACTAGAGTCTTAACTTAATCTTCCCAAAGCCAACTTCTGAGAATATTTCGTCTCGATGGCCATTTTAGTAACAGGATATTCGAAACGAAATTTTTAAAATGAGTTTCTCGTCTCCCTGGAAACTATTGGTGCCACTGCTGTTTGCATGCATTTACGCTAGTCTCTTCAATTTTAAGCTTTTATGATAGACCTAAAATAGAAACAGCAGGATGGTAACCACGACTAATCCGATCATCGAGGATATACAGCCAAAAAGAGGTAGTATACAAGAGGTTTTGTTATCCATCGTTTCCAATTATTCGCTTGCCTGACATGTGCTTTTTATTGATAAACTAGATGCTTGTTCTAGGTGTCAAGTGCAGATAAATTACTCCTTTGGGTATATGGCCGAATTAGACTGTCAGTATAATTGAACTCAGAACCCTTCAGAAGAATATTTTTCTGATTTTCGAGCTCTTGCTTTTTATTGATGAGTTTGTCCCTTTTTTCAGACGATTTTCCTAAGGTCTTAAATACATACATCTTTTCTCTTTTTTTCAGTAAACAGCATTTTAACACTTTTGAAACTGAAAATTTGATTGCTTAAATTGCTCTGACTGGATCTGTCTCAGCCAAATAACGTTGCGGGTGTAAAAAGTAATGTCAAATAAATTTAGACTCCGACAAGGTAAAACTCGGAATATAAAAGGTTTTTTCTTTTTTCGATGAGGGATTGTAGGCAAAAAAAAGACAAAGATAAAAAGTCAGTAACTGGATTCTTGTGGGAAACTTAGGTACATAGTAAGAATACAATCAACTCCTGCTTGGGATTCATGGCTTATTTAAAATTGCATATCAATTAATAAATAATCACTTGAAAAGCAATTCTAATAAGTTCCAAACCAAAACAAGGAAATCTGCATAACAAGGAGAAAATTTAACACTCAAATTCTATAACATTAATCATGTTTCTGATGCTAGGTAAAACAATTTTTGTCTTACAGAATGACTTGAAGAAAGATAGTCGGGAAATTAAAGATATTTCTATTTTAATGGGATTTGTAGGAAGTAAGTGCAAAGTAAAGATAGATTTTGAGAGCATGGTATTCAAAAAGCTGTCAATTCTATTATCGCGGTTGTTTTTTTGGTTTTGTCTTTTTTAGATCCGGATATGTGTGCAACACTATAAAGAATTAGGATGTCTTATGTTTCTCGATATTAGTTCATTTTTCATGATGTTACAAAAATACCAACTAATAACTGAACGAATTCAATGGAGAGTTCATGATATTAACACCGAATCTAAATTATAACCTGCGTTAATGTTGGCAAATAATCAAAGTGACCATTTTTTAAGGCTGAGTCCTCGCAATTAGAATCTGAGGAAATCTTTTTAAGGTTATGGATACACTGTTGTGAATTTACAATTCTTACCCGCTAGCTCATGAAGTAGCTGCGTGTTTCTGGTTATTATTGCAAGGTTTTATTTTCCTTTCACCCTCAACTCGTGGCCCGCTGACAACTATTAGCGGTCACGTGAGATTATTTGTGAATACTCATACCACATACCGTTAGGCAACCAGTTACCAAATGAAATAATAAATATTTAACAAGTGTAATTTAATTGCAAATAGATTTCAAAAGAAACTATCAAATAGTTTCTGAAATCATTGCTATGAGAATGAGTACCTGAACAAAATATGAATTGATTTTGGAAAGTTCTCATCTTACAAAATATCCGAGTTGTTATTCATTAAGGATAAAATTATGGTGTAGGATTATTTTTGGTGCATCCTGCATGTAGACTTAGCCAAAATAATGCATATTCTCGCCAGCTCTGTTTTTTCAAAATTGGTTAACAGAAATATGTACTTTCATATTCGCAAGATGTCAGTTTTTGTAAAGCGTTCGCTGCAAGCAAATAGAAAGAAATGAAATTTTTACAGAATTTGACGACGCACATTTTGAAAACCACGGCGTGGTAACATTTTCATATGGCGTATAAAAAATTTGCTGACTCGTATTTTTCTATTTTTAAAGTATTTTTCTTCCAAATTTGAAATGCTAAATAGAATAGAACCTTACCGAGGCTTATTGTTACGCAGTTGTTAAGATAAATTGGCTCCGTGGTTTGAAATATAGTGGGTGGTATATTCGTTCTGAAAGATTCTATGACGTAAGGGACCTGGCAAATGTTGATTCTTTTCAGTGTTATTTACACGAGATTTTTGTAGATCACAGAGCTCCTAATGTTTGAATATGATCCAGTAACAAAACAGGTAAGTTATATTAACAAAGTTTTTTTTTTACGTAGTATCGAATTAATTTGAGTCTGTAAAATGCTACTGCGTCAGTAGAGACGTGTCTAATTTATGTTTTTAAAAGGCATCTTAAAGCAGAATTTTGGCCAACTCCACTTTTACTTCCTCACTTCTGCTTAGCGCTGCTTTGCCTTCTTTAGCTTAGAATTTACAGATTCATTACATGTGACTGAAAACAGAAACTGTCTTTAAGTAATCAAGAGAAAAATAATTTGAGGAAGGTATAATATAGATATTACAATTGACTGTGTTTTACCAAACAATAATACAATTCATCTGCTTGAAGAAAAGTAATAACAGTTAGAAATTTCAGCTGCTTTGATAAGTAAATTCTACACAACTCGAATTCAGGCGGGTCTTCGCCTCTTTGCCTTAGTTGTAACTGAAATTGAATAAAAAGGTTTGTACTTAAGTGTTCAGAAAAAGAAATGCCGCCGAGTTAACCAAAGTCTCTGTCAGTCTAAAATATCAACAATTACCTTATCAAATCAATTTTCGTCTTCGATACCGTTCAACTTGATTTCCAAAATATTTGTGGTACATCCAATCCATGAAAAACTGAGAAATGGTGCAACAGAAGTGGGATATAAACAATGTTCTTCTCTCGTCGTTTGCATGTGTCAGCGGCCAACTACTGAGGATGAACTGGACTCAAACCGTAAGTCATATAGGACGTGTTACTGTGGTTGATAAATGTACATGTACCACAAAATATTACATAGAAATGAACATTTATCTCATTAACCTGCGCTAATATACTTTTTTGCAGATAATAAGATGGAAAAAACAGCCATTGGTATAGTGCTGGTTTTCATTCTCCCATTTGTGCCCAGGCTATCTACGACACTCAGAAAATTTACATGCGGTAAGCGAAAAATGGGCAGTTTGTTTCCACCCCAAAACCATATACTTTCTCATTATTTTTTTTTTTGGAGGGCACGGTAACGAATCCTGCAATCTGATTGGTTCTTTACCCAGTCAGTATTTTCCTATCTCTGCCCACGGGTCACGGTAACGCTTTCGTGAGTCGCCGAGTACATCCCAACATTCGTTGCCATTTTCATAAATATATCTCGTTTTCCGGCTGGGTGGTACTTTTAAGAAAACACGTCGGTCCGATAAATAACTTATGAATCCTCTCTTTTCCTTCTCTCAAATCACTTTGGTTGACAGAAAAATATTGGTTTCAGAAGGAATTTGTATAAGCAATAGTATCATTACGTTGCTTGACAAGGGCCTAAAAACCGTCTGCAATTAATTTTAAGCGTTCATAAAAAATACCTAGAAAGTTAAAACGTGAGGTATTTGGTTACAGTTAAACTGAAAGATGGAACTTTCACTCGTTTAATATCTGAATTTTCTCAAACAATTTGTTCGTGGTGAAAGAGCGAGCAGTTCTACAACAAATATACGCTCTCGGTGAGTCTTTCCAAGTCCGTTCAATTTGGACATTTGTGCCGCAAATTGTACAACAGAAACTGAAGGAATTTATTGAGAAAAGGCCCCATTAAATCCCCTCGTGTCTCGTTGGAGTGTGCCATTCGAATTTAGTTCTTGTGGAGGAAAGACCAGATTTACACACGACATTGCAGAAAACAAACCAGCAAATTATCACTACTTCAAAATAAAAAATTTGAATTTACTCACAATTACTTTCCTCGCTGTTTACTTAGTGAACAGAGGTAAATCTTCGTACATGAATGAATCGTCGATGAGAGTGAATAATACTTTTCCGTTAGATCATTGACTGTTTTTGAAGTAAACATTGTCATGACAGTCCTTGCCAAACTAGTTCCGTTATTTTTCAAATGTTCTTACGCTTTCTTTTTCTTACGCGCTCTCTAATTGACAGGTGTCAGATTGTGACAGACACTTGTAAAAATAATGTTTCAAAGTTTGTTTTGAAGCCTTTTAAATTACCTTTACCGTTACGCAAATGAAAATTTTTCGGTGAGACACCACTCTTTAATTTGCATCACCTCTATTTTATATAATAAGCTCAGTTATGCATGCATTCTGATTGGTTCTCACTTATGATCTATTGGAGGACAGACGTATAGATGACGTCATCATTAAAACTTTTTTTAATTCTTTATTATATCAAACAAATAGATTCCAAGTTGCCATGCGTCTGTTCAGTAATAGATCATAGAGGACGTCAAAATGTGGTAAGAACATCAGTGACACACTCGGCTGCGCCTTGTGTGTCACTTTTTTGTTCTTACCACATTTTGACGTCATCTGAACAGACGCACGGCAACTTGGAATCTATTTGTTAATTAACTACCATTTACTCGCTCAAAAATTTTTCAGTTTATGGAAGGTCTTGCCGTATTTACAGCCCTAAATCATTCGGGATCTTTCAGAAAGAATTTCGTCAAGTTTAAAAAACATAAATATGTTATTTACCGGCTAAGGGTCGATCCGTATGGTAAAAAAACTGTGACCTCGGTCTTGAAAATGCTGCCCTCGGCCAACGACCTCGGGTAGTATTTTCAAGACCTCGGTCACAGTTTTTCACCATACGGACCTCCCAGCCGGCAAATAACATATATTTATTCATCTTAGAGGATAATTTTTCTTTCCAAGTTTCTTTCTTTCTCTCTGACCTTCCTTTTTTCTTTTTCGTAATTCAGGTTTAGTTAATGGTTATCCTGAAGAGTATGACGCTTTGACTTTGGCTGGAAACAAAACGAACAAACTAAATAATGTATCAGTAATCTTCAAACAGTTCAATATCTCAGACAAGATAAATCTATTCAGTAAAGGTAATGTTGTACCTAATTACAAGATGGTAGAAAAGTAAGTGTAACACCTTTTTTTCTGCTGAAGAGGCTAGAGTCCATTCTTTGACCAAAAAGGTGTATTAAACGTATTAAATTATATACTACTTTTGGTTGTAATTGAAGCCTTCGATAAGTTTCAAACTCCCAACAAAAACAAGCGTCAAAACTTTCGAAACCTTAAACTAAAATCTGAAGTGTCCATTAAGGTGTCCTCGTCAATTTCAATAAATAAAATTTCAGTAATCAGTCAGCTCACGCACGCCCGTCGCGGGAAGGAAAAATGTAGTTTGAATATTCATATTCAAGAATCTCAAGAATTATTTAACAACATGGCTCAAATACTTTGCTCATCATCGAGTCGCAATCTGATTGTGAAGAAGTTATATTTCAATTCTACCAAACCAAAGAAAATTGTTTTGTTATCCTCAATACTTTAGGTAATCCTGTTCTTGTATCGTGGTAATTTTATTAAAACATCTTAAATATCAGGTAATTTAGTGTTAACAACTGGGTTGAAAACATAAATTAGCCACCGTAAAGGGTAAAAAAGCTGACGTTTCGAGCGTTAGCCCTTCGTCAGAGCTATACTCTCCCACCGACGCAGTACCACAGTTTCTTTAGAAACTTACCCCTTTATTCATCTTAAATATCAGTTGAACTTTTCAAGCAGTATCAACAAAAAAGTTATTTCTATCATAGCTTCATTACTTCGTGATGAAAACGTTATTGCGCTCGTGGAAGGAAGTGAAGACAAGATCTCCACATGCGCATTGTCTACAGTGACTGGAATTCCGCTTATTCGTCTCCATGATAACAAAGTCTCTGACCAGTGTGAAAAAGTGATTCAGATGTCAGCTGGATACAAAGACATTGCAACTGCCACGCTCGCTCTGATAAACATGTTTCACTGGGAAAGTATTGCAGTTTTATTTGATGGTAAACAAAACTTTTGTCGTTCGCGCTGACTAGCATAAGACAGACGAACTTCTTAAAATGTTCAAACTTTTCTGTTGATTGTCTTGACTACATTTTTAAGCATGAGCACATAATTACACGTATGAATCTTCTTGTCTGTTTCAGAGGATTACTCCTACAAAGCAGCTTTTTTCACCACCATAACCAAGAGATTAAATCTCGCTATAAAGTTAGTTCATTTTTCCACGGAGCCTAATAATGAAAATGCAGTATTCAACGCGATGGATGAAATTTACAACCTGGAAGCAGAAGTCATTTTACTTCACATCAAAAAAGAGAACATTGAGATAATACTTAATCAGGTGCTATTCTAATTTTACTGTCTTTGGTTTCTATGCGCCATTTCAATGAACTTTTTCCTGTCTGATAATGAATAATTTCGGAATGCTAAGAGCTGACTCCTCGTCCCTTGGCCTCTGATTAATGAAGACTTTTTTAAAACGAAAAAGTACACTCAAAGAAATGATTACTTCACAGCCAATTAATTTGATTGTTAAATTATATGTCTGCTGTGTCTTTTCATTCATTCAAGTATGAATTGATGCATCTCGTTATTGTTCAAACGCTCACATCGGCAACAAACATCTTTTTTCTTTTTCAGCAAAGAACTTGTCAATGCACAAATGTGTACAAGTGGATACTTCAAGGAGAGGTTATTCAATTAATAAATTTTTCGCCACCGAAGAATCTAAGAAGGGGAAAGGTTCTCTCGTGTATATCTAATCCCAACTTTCTGACGTCCCTATAAAGACCAGAAAAAAATCGTTCATCCATAAATTCCACGTAAGCTAGTTTGAGCTTAACTGCTCATATTATGGTACAAAAATGTTAATTCCCTGGCTACTGTTTTGGCTGATTGTTTTTTCAATTTTGCTGTTATTTGTGGATCTCAGATACCATTACACCTGACCTCTGAAGGGAATAACATTGTTTTTGCATTAAAACTTCCCTCCTACTATGAAGAAGAAAATGTCGTCAAAGGCAATAATACTAACACCACGGTAAGTCAGGCAAATCAGAGAGCCCTAATACATATAGACGATAGTAAATAGCCATTCTGAGATGCGAGATTTCTCTTGAGGGTTGAAAAATGTTAAATATTTTTCAGCATGAAAAGAGTCGAGAAATTTCGTATCATCTGGAGGCCATGTAAAATATTCTATTTATTATATAAAGATCAATGAAATACTAAATCATTTCACCTTAATTTTTTTAAAAGTAGAACAACTACCCAATAGCATAACCAGTGATATAACTTAAACATCTTCACTTGTGAAAATACTATGCTTTCGCACGAATGCTCGCTTGGTATTTCATTGATATCTATATAATAAATACAATTATCCAACTTCTCCATAAGATTTTGTAATGGCCTTAAAGACGCCGTTCAGTTCAGCTTTGTCAGGACTTTACCAATCCTGGAGCAACCTTAATTAGCCACCCAACGGATAATAACCTGTTTCAAGAAATAAGTCTAACCCTTTTTTAATTCTTTCTCAAACCTGATAACCGCTTCAAGAAAGTGAGCGTGGATCTAATCAAAACCTCTTGGTATATGAAAATACACTCAGAGACTTCTTATTACTTATGTCATGACCCCTTTAACATTTTACCATTTTGCCCTAAGGACCAAGATGCACTCCTGCAGGACACATCCCAAATTATCCATCAGGCTCTCAGCAGGGAAGAGTGTTTGTCAGTAAATAGCTCCTCCTTTGGTTTTAACGAAGCACATAAAATGTTGAGTTGCTTGAAAAACGTAAGCTATCAAATGATTCTCTTGTCATTTCTACCTTGATTAAAATGATCCTAATTGTACTTTTTTTGATCGAAAAATTTTGATGTTGTGTGTCATTTTATTTCAATTGCAAACAGGTCAAATTTGAAGGCAAAACAGGACCTGTTTATTTTGATGAGTACGGGGAGAGAAGAGGAATTAGATTAGAAATTTTGAATCTTCAAAATGATTCTTTGACAACGGTAGGTAAAATTGTTATTATCTTGATAATCATTCTAATTGCGATCAAACCAGTGTTATTGAAAAGATTAACAGCTTTGAAACCTCATACCACAGAGGGCTACGTGGCAAACTTGATAGTTATCTTTTTATCAGATGCCATGAATTTTCAGAAAAAAGATTGCATTGAACGGGTCTGACGAAGATTCTATGTAGTCTATGTATAGCCATTTTGAAATGATTAGAGATAACTGATCTTTAGATAGGGACATGGAATTCATCTCATGGTGCCGTGGTTTTTGGGAATGTGTTACGTAATGATGGAAACCCATTGAGCGGAAGGAGACTGGAAGGGAAAAAGCTTAGGGTCGTTGTGGTAGAGGTAAGTATGTCCATGACAAAGTATATGTAAATTTTTTTTACAGACCTTAACTGTGGAATGTACCATAAACGAGACCCCAGTGTAAGGATGAATAACACTTTATTTAATTTAAGCGAAAGATATAAATTAAGAAGAAAGAAAGTAATGTATAACGTTTCCAAAAGCAAAGAAGCGAAGTAAGAGATGAATGTAAGGAGGAATGGACCGAGGAGAAAGGAAAGCACTACCATGGTTCACAATTTTTGAAGCCGTGATGCAAAAATAGCAAAAAAAAACCTTTATGCATTACGCAGCAAAAATTGAAACACTTGCTAAAAAAAAGTAGAACGCTGATACTAACGAATGGGTCAGACAGATAATAGTAATACTCGAAAATCAAACAAATTAGCTGAACACGAAGAAATAAAAATGCGTTTTGATCATACAGTATCTGTTTACTTTAATTTTGAAACAGAATGCACCGTTTATAATGAAGAATGAGGACGGCACTATTCCACATTATAAGGGATACTGCATCGACCTTCTCGATGAACTGGCCAAGAATCTCAAGTTTACCTATGAGATCTATCTCTCCCCAGACGGGATGTATGGTGCCGAGTTGGAGAATGGAACATGGAACGGTATGATTGGCGAGTTAGTTGGTAAGGTAATTATCTAACCTCTGCTGCCTAATATATTTCAAATACGCGCTACTGGTAAATGTCAGTTAAAATTATTTCTTGTACTCCATCGTAAGGCCCACACCAACAGAGCTCACAATTACATGAAATAAGTAACATTTAGACCTACGGTTGATATACAACTTAGATAGGAATCCATCCAGGTGGGCTGCAATTGTAGAAATTGCAGAAAAAACGCCTGACAAAAATCAGGCTACGCCAGAATTTGGTATGGTCTACGAATACAAAACGATGACTTTTCATTGATTTTGACCTCATGATTTAAGATGTGGATTCCACAGTGCTCTGACAACTAGCAGGTCACCAATCTCTTTCATGAATACAAACAGCTTAAGTGAATTCAGAAAGTCATCCCAAATTAAGATTACAAAAAAAAATGATGCAGTCATTTGTCTTTCTCTTAAGCGTGCTGACATCGCCGTTGCATCTCTTACCGTAACTGAAAGTCGAGAGAAAATTGTGGACTTCAGCGTTCCTTACATGTACTACTCAAGAGAAATACTGGTCAAGAAATCACCTCACAGTGGAAAAGTTGATTTGCTTCAGTTCATGAATCCTTTTGACATTCAGGTCTGGTTTGCTACTCTCGCCAGCCTGGTCATCATCTCTGTTGCTGTATTTGTGATAAATTACTTCAGTCCTTATGGGTGCAAAGACGAAAATGGCCGAGGAACATCAGAGGAGTTTAACTTCTTCAACAGTGTGTGGTTTGCTTTAGCCTGCATGCTGCAGCAAGGAGGAGATAACACACCGAAAAGCTCATCAGGTGGAAGCTTACATACTAAAAACCACCCGTAGTAATAAAAGGTCACGCATGCTAAGTGAGGAGAGCCAATCCGGCATTTTAGGTCAGGAATCCAATTTCTCACCAGAAATTAAAAGAAGTGTTTGGGTTCAATATGACTCTTCATGATTGCAACAGAACTCTCCTTTTTTTGGGCTCCAAAATGAAATAAAGTTTGTATACTATTCCTTTCACTCGATATTCTTACAGCCCATTGATCGAATTCATTATAGGATCGAGGCCACTCGAGCTTGTTCAGATAGTAAAAAATTATTGGGCACGGGTATTATATGAAGATATCTCATGATATCTTCAACAAAGCAATCCTTTTTTTGCTCAATATCCTCCTTAGGTCGGATTCTGACTGGATGCTACTGGTTCTGCATACTCATAATGATCTCAACATACACTGCCAACCTGGCTGCTTTTCTTGTTGTGAAAGATAATGATAATCCGATTAATAATCTAGAGGACATCGTAAGGTCCACCTATCAAGTAGCTGTCATTGAGTCAGGAAGTACTTATGAGGCATTCAGGACAAGTCAGTATGTAACGCATGAAAAGATTTGGAATAGAATGGTAACAGCGGGGAGTTTTGTCCAGAGCACAGCGGAAGGAATTCAAATGGTGCGAGACAGAGACCAGTTTGTGTTTATTTCTGATGGGCCTGTTCTTAAACACGCCGCACAACAGCCGCCTTGTGACGTCACCACAGGTCAGTGGAGATGAGAAACGCACAGAGAACCATTTACCATTTCTCTAAACAGTCCTGATTTCTTCATTAAGTTAAAATAACTTTTCTCTAACCTATGTTAACCAGTTGTCATCTTTTGATCCCATCCTGGCAAACCCTGACACCCTCCACCGATTGAAAAATCCTTAAGTTTAAATTCGTTCTGATTTGTTTTGGTCTCAGTTCCAGGCCTGAGTACGGCCCTCGGACTTGCGTTTGCTTTTCAAGCAAATAGTACAGATGTTGATGACGTCACATTGGCTATTCTACATCTTCACGAAAACGAATTCCTTGACAGTTTAAAAAGGGAATGGTGGGAATACAAAGATGAATGTCCTAAAAAGCAGGATACAAGTAAGGATTTCAATTCCTTTTGCACGAGAGTAGCTTTTAATATCCAAATTATGTTAGTTCTCCATCATCCAACATACTATCTGGTTCTTAGGTTTTGGCCCAGTAAGTTTTCACGAATCCGATAAACCATCATTATTTCTTCATTTTTCACTTTATAAAACTCTGTAGTTGGACCTCCTTCCACAATATGTTTTCTCTCTTTCAGCTTTGACTCGAAAGCGAATTGATCTCAGAAGCATGCTGGGAGTGTATGTCGTTATGAGTGTCGGATTAATTTTAGCATTGATGGCGCTGACTGCAGAGATCTTTTGGACAAGAATGAAAGAGCGCAAGATAATAACCCAAAGGTTAGTCAGAGTTATTGGAACAAAACAAGACTCTGCTTGGCAGAATGATATCAACTATACATGCATGATCTGCTTAAGAATTTAACGAGGATATGAAAACATAATCATTTGTGGTCAGCACCTAATTTTGCGGTTTTACAATTGTCATCTTGCTCTTCCTGATAAAAAGAGAAGTTCCTCTCTTCGATAAGTAAAAGTTGTTAATACTTTTCCCTTGTCCTTTTTTCCTTTTCCAGACCAGAAGATCGTTCCATTGAAGTCAACCAAATCGCACATCCTGATTAGTCTAAGCCGACCAATCAAAGCCTGCACGTGGCTTAGTTTCAAGGAGAGTGAATGAATAAGCAAACCATTTCAAGGCAAGGATCGTGACAAATACATGATGTCATCAAAGCAGTTGTGAAGTGTGCTTCACCATACAACCTCCCTGAGCACCTTGGCCTTTTTTTTCGTTTCAGTCAGTTTGCCTTGTTTTTCTCGCAAATTGTTTTCTCAATATGCTTCTGTCGTTTTGGGCTTAATTTTCGTCAAATTGTGGCTCATAGTCCAGAAATAAACCCATACAAGAAAACATTTTAAATAAATTCAGTGGACATACCATTTTACCATAAGTCTTCATTATTCTTAAAGTTTGCGAAAGTTGCTAAATCTCGCGCCAAATTTTAAAGTCAATTATGTAGACGAAAACAATTTAAAAAATAAACGGATTCAGTTTTAATAGTGCTTTTAGCTGTCTTTATTGTTAGTTTCAATCACTCGTGATATCATATTTGGATAAGTTTCATCTCGTTTTTTTTCTTCAATTTTAAACTGCCAAAGTTAGATTGTACCACTCCAAACCTCACAATTAGAATATAACGTGATAGAGTTATTAGATCTCAACAGATAATCATTAAACTGGCACCACAGTCCAAGTCTGAAAGCTAACAAAATCACGCAATTATGTACAAAGCAGGACGACGATAGCATAGCTATAGCTCGAAACGTCAGATTTCCAAACATCAATAAGATAGTAACAATCTTCATCAACGTCAAGTTGAACTAACCTTTGATCCAAACTCCTAATTTAATTTTCTACCCCAACCCACCTTAAGATTTATAATAGGAATAACTTTCATTTAAAGTAGATGCAACAACAAAAAACATGTGTACAATTATGTTATCTCAGAAGGTCCTGGGCGAATTTTCACTGAACGAAGTTTTGTCCTGTGGAAATAATCAAAGAGAAATGTAAGAATTAAATCAGTTTGTTTTTCAACAGCGTTAAAAACAGCATAACTTGTGCATCCAACTCATCCTCTTAGCTGATCTTTGCTGCAATCATTATCAAACACACAGTAAAACGTAACTTTGAGCAACCAAAGCAATCTTGCCCGTTCAGGAAAAACATCGACCACGAGTTCAGATGTCCTAGAATGACTCCATACAAACCTGTGCAGCTTGTCTACCAGCGCTTGTTTAGCTTTTCTCTTCCAGTAAAGTTCCGCCACAAGTGTCATGAATGCTATGATCATTCCAACAGCTAAAACAATGTACACACCCAGCATACTCATAATACCAATTCTTTTTCGAGACAAAGCTAAAATAAAAATAAGGAAACATGATTGGTACAAACTGAATATCATATAGCGCAGCGGATTTTGTACGTTGGCCCGTCAGCTTTCATTATGATTTTGTATAGGATTGCACGCGCGGGGCCGTATTGGCCACTTTCTCAACATCCCCAACATTGAGTGCGCAATACTAAAGCTGTATTGTTTCATCCGGCAACAGTCAATCTTAAGTCTCATAAACTACTTTAAACAGTTGACGCTTGTCATGTCAGCTTAAGGATTAAAAAGTACTGATGAACGCTTCTCGCTTTGAAGTTAACCCTGACGTCACAGATAATACACATCATTAATCATATTATGACGTTACAGATAACTACAATAACCCAGGAGTCTTTCTCCGTTGTTAACCAGAATTATGAACTCCTAGCATTATTGCTTCAATTTACTTAAGACGAACGTCTTAAGTAAAAAAAAGGTTTGAAAACGAAGCAAGCTATGGTGGAAGTGGCTCCAAGGAGGTCCGTCATGTCGCTTATTACTGAAAGATCAAACAGACAACAAAGACCTGCGATAGCTTCCCATTTAACAACTGAATCTGTTTTGGAGGAATCGTTGATATGTTTAATATGCAGTACAGGACAACTGGAGATTAAAGACGGGGACACTGCACAAGGCAAAGCCGAGACCTGCAATTTGTGTAAAGAACACGGCTACGACGGAAACAGACAGGAAAAAGAGTTTTTCTGCATATTTTGCTATGAAAAACGAAGATGCAAAAAGGAAAAAGCAAGAGCAAATCTTAAACGGCGAAATACCTTGGTGGAAGAAAGTGTTCATGGGGCCGAAAGATCGTTGAAGAAAATGAAAATCTGCGGTGACACACAAGCTCGGAGCAAAATGGGAGCAGGTCAATCATAATGTCCATGATGATGACGATGATATCACTAAAGGTTATTTTATGATCATGCAACAATTGCCTGCTTATTTAACGGAAATAGACTGCAGACAGTCATCATCGAGGCAACAAATCATTCTAAGGACTTACTACAGGTATCTGAAGAAAGCACTTCAAAAAAAATTTTACATACACGTTTCTTCTTCGACTGGACATTTATTCGTACTATCCCACCACTTCCTTTGCAAGCTGGTGAGAAAATCGTTCTCATGCAGACGCAAAATGGCCAGAGTAAAGTCATTCACGTGTGGATCATTAGCTTGGAAGGCGAGTGCAAGTCCTTTCGACGTGCTTAGACCTGGAACTGAAACAAAAATAAACCTAAGCTGTTACTCATTGTGATTATTTATTAATCAAATGATCAGATCAAATATCGGTCTTTTTGATAAATATTTCAGCTAAGCTGATACCAAAATGACAAGTCTTGGGTACGAATAACAGGATTTTTGGAATAAGCTTATCTAATCGTTTCTTTTGTTATAAATTTAACATAAATTTGGAAAGAATAGCACCACTCCACTTTAAGCGGCGAGTTTTTAGGGAGACGATTTGCGTCAAGTTATAAATCTCATTACCAGGTAGCTTCCATTAATTAAGCTTAAGTATTTACCAACTTGCAGGTCACAGGGTTTTTTGTTGGCGATATGTTGAAGAAACGGCCCGTCAGTGATAAACGCGAACTCATCTTTCTCTCTCACCCACTCAACACCTTGCGCTGTATTTTCAGCAAGGGTACCCTCCGATTTTATTTTGTGCCAGATTTTTTTGTGTGTTTCGTAGCCGCTCGTCTCGAAGAACTCTGAAGTGCTGGATGAGTCGAGTATTCCCACCGAATACGATGATTTCACGATGTCCTCTAGGTTATTAATCGGATGTTCGGCGTTCTTTACAGTGAAGAAAGCGGCCAAATTGGCAGTGTATGTTGAGACCCAGATTAATATGCAAAACCAATAGCAACCAGCGAGGATACGACCTTAAAAAATAAGCAGCATCATCACAAATTATTACAGCATGAAATTATTATGACTCAAGGGAGATAATAAACACTAACAAGCGAGAAACTCTGGCCGGTAAAGTATACTTCCCCACCTGATAGGCTCTTTGGTGTATTATCTCCTCCTTGCTGCAACATACAGGCCAAAGCGAACCATACACTGTTGAAGAAACTAAACTCCTCTGATGTTCCTCGGCCATTTTCATCTTTGAATCCATAAGGACTGTAGTAATTTATTACAAAGACAGCAATAGAGATGACCACGAGGGTAGCTAAGGTAGCGAACCAAACTTGATTATCAAACGGATTCATGAACTGCAGCAGGTCATAATTTTCCTTGGATGATGTTTTTTTCAATAGTATATCTTCAGTGTAATACATGTAAGGTACGCTGAAGTCTACTACCTTCTCTCGACGTTCTGTTACAGTGAGCGCTGCAACGATTATATCGGCGCGCTTTGAACAAAGAAGAATAGCTAATTAGAATTGCAATATTTCCTCAGTTTCCTTATACAAAGTCTTTCTTTTAAGCGATAAGCCAGTTATTTCACCGCCATATTTCCGTGGATTATCAGAGAAACCTTACACTCTGTTCAGTAGCATACCCATGACCTTCTACCTATCCAGTTTAACAACACTTTCACTGATCAGTAAAATCTTTGTCACAAGAGAGTGACTTTACACAATGCTGAGGGTCAGCATCCTAACTATTATTTCTTTCTTATATCATTGTTTACTTAGTGAAAAGTATCATTTATGAAATCTTACCTCGTTTACAATCTCCTTCATCGTTCCACTCCAAGTTCCATCTTCATTTTCAGCACCATACTTGCCGTCAGGAGAGAGGTAGAGCTCATACGTAAATTTAAGGTTTCTTGCCAGCTCATTCAGAAGATCAATGCAGTATCCTTCGTAAGAAAATCCGCCGTTTTTATTTTTCACCCTCATCACAAAGGGAGTGTCCTAGGGTTAGAGAAACAGCGCCAGAACCTTTACAATAGAATTTCGACCTCTGGCATAGATTGATCTAATTTGCATTCGAGGATACCCTAAAGATCATGATTTGACACCAACATATTACTAATATTGTGATAGAAAAACGTCTCCAAATCAAATAACATTCAATCAAGCGTGAGGTCTTCTTGGTTTCTTGGTCTCCCATTCCACTGACACGACTTAATTTGTTAATCATATGAAAATAATGAATATAAATCAAATTCAGTCTGTTTCATTACCAGTAAACCAACAGCCCTGAGCTTTCTCCCCTCTAAAGTTGTTTCTGACAGTGGGTTATCCATGTTACGTAGGATATTTCCAGAAAACACGGCGCCCTTAGATGAATTCCAGGTACCTATCTAAAAAAGGGGAAAAAACAACGCAACAAAGACGATATAAAGTGAACTTGGTCGAAGATCCTTTGATGGAATGAATTGAAATCGTCTCCAAATGCCTTGAGATGCCTGAGCGATTTTGTTTGAAAATTGCTTCACCCAAGCGGCTGTGCTGATACATTCGGCCCTAACATCAAGGACGTTCAGGTCGCCTTTTATGTCGAGATCGCAAATTTTTTTTAAATGTGCCTGTTTCTTTTACGTTTTATAAAATCAGAAAGAGAAAGTTGAGATAAGTCTCAATCACCCAAAGCGTCAACTAAATTAATTAAATATTCGAATCATTTCAAACATCTCAAAACAAAGAAAAAGAAATTGGATCTAATTTGAAGCTTGAGATACCTACTTTCTTAAAAGAATTGTTACGAAGATTTAAAATTTCCAGTTCAACTCTTTTACGTTCCCCTTGCTCGTTAAATTGGAGAAATCCTGTAGTTCCATTGAGACTGACCTGTTTTGGAGATATGATAGAATAGATAAATTTCAGTTCGATGAATTAAGCTCTCCCTGGATTCTGAAAAGTAAATTGACATACTTCTCATGCTACTAAGATAGATTCTAAATTGTGCCATAGAAGTGACTGAGAAGACTAATAGAAACAATCCAAACATTCTTTACCATCCTCAAGCATGTTAACATGGCTTTGGTTGCTTCAGGACCAATATCAGATCCGTTGATTGATGAACAAGGCTCTATATTTACTGCTTTGTTGATGGTCTGGACTGCATCATAACTAACTGCCGCCAATTGCTGTCGTGATAGGAAAGTTAACGAAATTAGTTTCTTCGTTACGTTTGGGAAGGAGAACAGATACGAATGACCTAC